GGTGATCTGATGTAGAAAGAGATGAATGTCCACCATCATTGGCTGGAGTGTCGCGCACGTCACGGTTTGAAGCCACACTGCCTCGTGATCGTGCCAACCTCGACATGTTCGGGATCAAATGTCTGATTTGTCCCAAGCTCGCAGCCATGTCCTGACATCCATGACAAACTCCACCACAACGCATCTCGCCCCACATCCAAGATGATGCATGAATGAGAACAACGTCATAACTAAGGACTTTGAGACACCTGTAGGCAGCAAATCCTTGTCCCACTGACCTGTGGCGACCTGACTTGCACTCCAAGTCCACCAGCACCTTACTGTCGGCTTCCTGCTGTGTGACGAACTGGAGGATGTTGTTGAGATGTTGGATGAGCCTGTCTACTTTGCTCATAGTCTCAAGGATCCCATGATGCCAACCCACATGCGACCTGAGGTTAACGTCCTGATCAGGATCGTTAATGTCCTCACAGTTGATGCTCAAAGTGCTCCTGCTGGTTCTGCACGCATGTTGTTGAAATCTACGTCCACGAGTCATGATGACCACCTTCCTGTCACTGCGCAGTTCTTCATTCAACTTCGTCTGCAAGATGTCGTAGTCCCTCGAATGAAAACCACACATGTCATGGTCAGCCATGGCAACTTCCGATGTGGATGCTGTGTATGCGATGTTGTACTTTCTGTGACACTTCGGGATTTGGGGAAGTTCATCCGACGGTGTGTTGTTGATGTTGGTCAATCCTTCAGTCAAGTTCATCACAAGTAGACCTGATTTGGAACATCTCTTGATATTCAATGGTTGATCTTTGATGGAAATCACCCCTTTTGCTAGGTCCTTCACTAGGCCTAACTTGGTTTGCGCATGCAATGAAAGAAGCAATGGGCTGTTGCCTGTTGACAATTGATATGAGTCCAACTCCCCATGCATGTTCCCGTCTGGAAGCAGCAGCGAAAAAGGAATAGATCTCACACCTTCGGTCTTGGTACTACCACTTCCCAGACCAGCAAAACTCTTACAACCGTCATCCTTCAATGGCATGCTGTAACCTAATCGGGCCAGTCGTGCTTCTGCATCGACTGCCCAGGCTTTGCTATGACAAGTGCTGTTGCAACCTTCATCCAATACTGCAAAAACATGGGGTGACTTGGCAATGTCAACAGTTTCATAGTTCATGTAAACCAAGTCTTGAGGGTATTGAGTGTCACTTCCATGCAAACAAATGCCAACGTACCCAGCTAACTCCCTGCCCGAGGGGTCGCCGTGCCCATCTTCATTGACAAGAGAAAAACTGTCCTCTTCCTCTGTCACGTCATTGATGGCTTGATGGAGTAGTTCATGTAGACGTGCACGGGTCATGACCTCAGATTGACAGGTTTCGGTAACGAGAGTGGCAAACAGGGGCAACAACTCTTCCAACTGGACTGGATTCAATCCATCCGATTCTTCAACCAATGATTCAACAATGGGGACTGCTCGAACTGATGCTGTTTCAACCTTCTTGGCAATTGCAACACGCTCCTTACGAATCTGCATAGGAGCTTCATCAATGAACGTGCAACACTTCTTGCAGAAAGTACGGTGAGTTGATTTGCTGGATCCCCGAAAATCTGTGTCGTCATGAGGGCAATTTTCAGGGGTCATCAACGGTACCATGTCACGTCTTGTTGTTTCGGAATGACCGCACACAAGACAGGTCTTCCTGATGGTGTACCCCGTAGAACCTTGTTTTGTAAACTCACGACATTCCTGACACTTGTTCGGCAAAGGTGGATTTGGGGGTTTCCTCCTGCCAGTTTCCCGAGTCACCAACAAATCTCGGTGCTCGACACGCTCAACAGGGACTTCGCGCAAGTGAATCCCATCAGCACCAACCACAAAGTACTTGTCAACCCAATTCAACCATGTGACATAGTATGGACTCTTGGGGGTATGTTTCTTGGCATGATGATAGTACCCTGCCTGTTCAAACAACACATTCCAAAAAGACAAACCCTTGAACTGTCCAACAGGAAAGATGCACCCATGGTCCTCGGGTCTCATTGTAACATCGAGATCCCGGGAAATCAAGCCAACGTTGCTGCTGGATGCTGCTGCACGTGAAGGTCGACTGCTGGGCTTCGCTTGTCGAACTGCCATCATAGCAACTCCATCTCTGTCACGATCAGGTGAAGCTGTCAAAGTCACACCATCGTCATCTGAAGAATCGCTCATGTCGGCAAAGTGAGCTGCGGGCTTTGGGGCTGACTTTCCAGGGGCTCCGGCTTTCGACCCCGGGAATTTACATTCCGGGTCACCGGCCCAGTGCCCTATGACTCCGCATCTCAAACATTTGCTCTTCGACTTCAGCTCGGTGAGCTTCCGTCTCCTCTGATCGATCGTGAGGTTGGACTTCACGATCTTTCCTTTCCCCTTTCCTTTGGGCTTCCCAAAGGATTTGCCCTTGCCACCTGCTTTCCCCATTGCAGTGAAAGCAGCAAGTTGTAGCTGGATGGCGTCTCCTGCTTGTCGATCATCTTCTGCACCTTCAACTTCAAGCAAGCTGTTCAATGCAACTGCTTCGTACTCATCGACGTCGTCAAAGTAATCAAATTCGTTGTCACCTTCTAGGTTTCCTGGCTCCTCTTCTGCAATGTCACCAAGCATGCCAACATATGAATCATCCTCCCAGGATTGATCCACAGCTTCATCCCAAGGTTCTGCATGTTCCTCCCCATCATCGGGGTAGGCTGCATAGGCTGCTTGGGAATACGATCCCTTCGAAGAAGGTTTGCCTTTGCCATAACCCTTGCCTGACGACTTGCCATGCTGTTGAGGATTACCACGTCCTGTCCAGGATCGTGACCCTTCTCGCAAGTGAGTGCCACTGTAGTTCTCGATCAGCACCTTGCCAACACCTTCAAAATCCTTAGTGTCTGCACAGGCCTTCACAACGAGGATCTCTTGTCGATTGAGTCCACTCAACTCCAACATCAACTCTGTCCTCAAGCTGTCTGAAAACACCATTGTGTCATCCAACTCGCATAGCATGTGCCACCAACGTCGTCTCCTCTGAACATAGGAAAGCATGGGTTCGCCTGGTTGGCGAGACAAAGGACCACCTTGCTTCTGTCCTGCACGAAATAGTTCCTTTGCTTCCTCACGAGCTCTTGGAAACACATGGGATTTGATCTCACCCACAAGTGTCACTAGCCCTCCAGGTTCAGACAATACTTCAAGTCCAAGATCCCTAGCTATTGAGAAAGCATCTCCTCTCAGTCCTTCAATCACCTTGTTGACCAATGGTCCACGATCAACATCTGTCTTCTGCTTGCCGGACTTCGAGGATTTTCGGCTCGTTCCAGACTTCGGAGTCGAGACCGCTGATGTAGGCTGGGTTGCTTGAGTTGCACCCGACAAATCTGGAAAAGTAGCATACTCATCTGCGTCTTCTGCGGCAGGCTCTGTTGCTGTGGTCCCAACGGGATCCGCAGACTTACTTGTCTCCTCCAGTTGTTGCTCATAAAGACGAATCCGAAGGAGTGTCCTGAACTGCCAATCATGAAAGTTCGCCGCGTCACCTGCATAGATGTACGATCCACTCTTTGTCTCAAGTGGTGCCGACGAATGGCGCTCCTGGCTGAAAAGAAGGCCATTGATCGACATGATGCTCGCTCCGTTCGGAGTCGAACAAGGAAAAACGTTAACAAGTTTCTGCCCTGGTCAGGGTCAGACAGATTCCCGAACCACGACACACTCGAAGTTCAGTTGATTCCCAAAGTTACCAGACTCAAATTCACAAAGGGTTCCCTGGGTCACTGACGTACCACCGGATGCAGGTCGTCACCCGCTCCGCTACCAATCTGAATTGGAAACGGGATCGTTAGTGCCCAACTTTTAACACGGCAGCGCGGTATGACTCAAGGGCCCTACAGCCAAATGTCAACGGGGGCATGTGATCACTTGGCTATACAAAATATACATTAGACAGGTCAAACTCACACGAGTATAGGTAGAGTCATTGGGATACAGCAAAAAAAAACTGGCACAATCTACCATCTTTAGCCATCCGATTTTGGAGGGTGAGGATTGATGAGTTAGCCAAATCAACCCCCCGAGATTGAAATTACTCGATATTTAAGCCACATCATTATCATCTTACTCCAGATTTAAGCCACATTGCTATCATCATTTATAGATTTAAGCCACATCATTTATTTATACAATCACTGCTGAGCCATACCCCTATGATGACAGCATATTGACGGCATGTATAATATGTTGGTCTGAAAATAGGGTACCAAAAAAAGTCCCGATATTCTATCGTTTCCCCCCAAGAAAACATGTTGCGGGTATACCAAAGGAACCCTAATATCATGTTGGTCTTACAATATTGCACGAACATCCATGAAATTCATTTAAGTTCCTATTTCATATGCGGATTCAATGTTTAAGAATCGATATGTCCCATTAAGTACCCATTGACAAGCATGACAAGGCCCTATCATAGGGGAATCATTCACATGAAATCCTGATGGTTGACATTAAATCCTAATGGTTGACATTAAATTCCCATTGAACTTAAACGTTCAATGCCCATTGACAAGAATCCCAGTAGTCATATCATATCATATCATATCATATCATATCATATCCAATTGATATGGTTAACATGTCAACAATTACACATCCATTGACAAAAATCCGATGAAAAATCACCAATGGAGATTTCATGGAATCTCATTGATACTTCATAGATATTTCATGAAATTAACCTTCCACTAAAATATCATAGACTCTGGCAGATAGGGGTTGGTTCACATTAGGTTCCACTAAATGGTGATTTAAAAAAATATTTTAAAAAAAAACATAATGGATATTTAACCTGTATAGGATATTAATCCAAATATCCACACTATTAGAGGATTTAATGGATATTTAATGGATATTTTTCATGGACATGTCACCATAAATAACCATTTTATGTTACATATCAATGAAATATCCATTGAATATCCAGCACCTGATCGCCAGCTCTTCCGAGGCTCTGCGGCAACGATACCTGGGAAAAAACGACAGAAAAACGACCGGCAACCGCGGTTGGGATGTCAAAACATCCAAAGGTGCTATGAAAATGATGAAAAATGGATGTTAACCTATTTGAAGTTGGAAATATAATGGGATATCCTTTGCGTGTTCAACGGATTTATCATGATTTATCCTTTGGTTTGCCTGAAGGTAGCGCACTGGAAAATCGCCATTTTTAATAGGTAGATCATCATGTTTATCATCTATGAACCATCATGTGGATTGAAGCAGCAAAACTGTTCGCTTCACAAAACGCAAACTGGAATTCAAAGATCATTTCAGGGTCAACAAATCTTGTGATTTGTACATGTTCAAGTCGGCCCTAAACAGTTCATTTTGGATCCCCACATCAGCATACAACTACCCCCTATTATCTATCTATACTGGATGTGCATATGTAATTACAGTGTGTGTATATACATATACATATATATAAAGAGTGCACTGCTCCAGCCTCTTTTCTTACCCACTCCGCAGCATTGTGTTAAATAAATAAAGAGACTAACCACAGTCTCTAAAATAAAACCCTAAAAATTCTGTGTGCCTGGCCAAACCCATAGCACACTGATCTTTCAATTTCCATTGGCGAGGACGAGCCAAACCAAGCGTCCTTTAATAAGCCTTCAACCCATTCCCCGTCAGGGATTTTTTGAGCGTTTCCGGCTCTTGTTTGAGGATCTTTGTTTAGATCCTTTTTTGGACCCATGTTTAGATCCTTTCTTGATCACCTTTCCATGGCCCCCAGATCTTCCGATAGGAGGCTCAAGTGATGTAATGGTGAGACGAGTGCGGTGACGATTGAAAAGGAGGAGAAAGGGAGCAAGGGAGGGGTGGGAAACAGGGAGAGCAAGTTCAGCCAGTACCGACAATCCCTCATTGATGTACAAGCGCGCTGTCTTCGGTGCCGTCCACCGGCCCTGTAACAGTATCTTGTCTAAGGAATGGTGCTTGGTAAACCACCAGGTGGCACCCCCTCGACGCAAACTGTAAGGCCTGAAACCGAAATCTGTAAGGTGCAATGCTTGTAAGGCCTCATTAAAGAGAGATCTCCAATTAGCTGGCGAGACTGCTAAGGGTGTGCTGTCCTTAGCTCAAGCTTTCCAATGTTGGACAAACTTAACGACCAAATCGTATCCCACAATAGCGGATTCAGCTGCTCCCAACCGCTTGCCACCTTTCGTAAGCCCTAAAGAAATAAGAACTTTAGGATTATGGGTTTCACACATGAGATGACATCCTCGGAGTCCCACAATCTCTCCGGTACGGAGCATCCCGTAAAAACCCAACAATAGTGAAACAGCAAACGTGAAGCGTTGGTGAAACAGCGCCCAACCCACCATAGCATGCAAAACGTGTGCAGGCAGTGGGGGCGCCCTGTTGGGTATTTCATTGATGGACCAGGTTTTTAGGAGCCGCCAGGCTCCCCCCATATGGCCTTTGAGACGAATGTCTTGGTCCTGTAATCCTGCCACTGTGTCGCTTGCCAAGGCTCTTCCCTGACCCGTTGACCACAGGTGTTCAAGGTATTCACATACCAACGGATCCAGGTGCTGACGTTGGCGTGGCAACTGAAGATCATTGCTTCGAAGGAAAAGAAGGAATTTATCGATTGCTTTGCTATATCGTTGTTTTGTTGCAGGTTGCACCGTCAAGTCTTTGAGCGTTCCTAACCTCTGCCGTTGTTTTGCCCTGCCGGCTTGTGTAGCTGCCTCGAGATGTCGCTTAGGCATTCCTGAACTTCGTGCGGATCCGTGTACCCCACCGGCTGGGCCGGTCTGCGGGGTTTTGATCTGTCTGCACATAGCCCCAGAGGGCCTGATTGGAGCTACACAGTAACAGGGCATTAATACGAGCAAGAGTGGAACGCAGCTTCTTGCTGCTTGATCGACCCCGTGATAGCGCATGAAGCACCACCAGGGAGTCGACCAAGTGCAGAAACCGGCTGCGAACATGGCGCCGATGTTCAACGCGCCATCGGACGCTCGTGAGCACAGCTCGCAACTCCAAGCTGTGCTCACGTGAGCCGGTCCATCGCCATCCTGTAATGACCTTCCACCGCCACAGTTTGGACGGGATAGACGAACGCAACCTATGAAAACGCGTAAGCTGACTTGACGGTGTGGTGAGGAGAATGTCCTCACCTTTGACTGAAATGAGATGGCCCAATTTAGGGACCAAAGGTGGTGATGCCTCAGGTGCTGCTCCCCGCAGCACCCGCAAGGGCGATCTCCAAAGCCGCGACTGCAAGAAGGTTTGATTGGCCGGATTCACAAAAGAGATAATTTGTTGAGGAGTGTAGGTCGGGCACAAACCCAAGGGTCCACAAAGCTGTGCGAGGAACCAAGCGACCACAGGAACACTCCATGTATTCCCAAGCAGGGTCTGTCGCACATCCTTGTGCGCGGTGGTACCTCGACCTTGCTTTCCCCAGCACGGATTCGTGTATCCGACGGGAAACCCCAACATGTACTCCTTCTCGATTTAATCGTGGGCAGCCGGAGCTGGTTATGCTTGTTGATCATCAAGTTCTTCGTCGTGTATTGATAGGGGGGAAAACGGTACGAATCCGCCACCCATCGGTCAAGGTCTGCCTGGCTACACGAGTTCAAGCCTGCAGGCTTGTGCCCGGGCTTGGCGCGCGGCCTAGCGGTGGTAAAGGTCGGAAAAGCCCGTTCAGGGTCGACCTTGATCCAGCCTTCCTCGCAAACTTCCTCCAAGTCTTGAAAGGCTTCCTGCGAGGGGACCCGGGTTCACCTCCCAGGAGAGTCACCCCGTCATGTTCTTGCAACGTCCAGCTAATCCAGTATAGCCTTGGGCGACTGCACCAGGTCATCCCACCAGCGTCACACAGCCATGGCTCGTCACCAAAGCTGTCGGACATAACTGCTCTGTCCGCGGCATCCATTGAAGCCACACTTTCCATCAAGCTGTGTACCTGACACCAGGAAAATACTTCCCGGACCAGACCTGTGATTCGCCCCACGTGTGGGAACAAGCTAGAACGTTCGTCCCGCAACGCGCCACGGCGCTGGGCGTTCAATCCGCTTACACCCTGACATGGAGGACCGCCCCCCACGACAACCAGGGAAGCTTGCGAGAAATCCCTGCCCCATTCGCGGACTGTCGCCTTGGTAATACTTTCCACGGCTGCGTAATGCTTCACCTCGGGGAAGTGCGACTCAACGACGCGCCGGGCCTCCTTGCCTTTTTCAACGCTGATGTGCCCTATAGACTCCAGGCCAAGGAGGTCAATCGCCACACGGAGTGCTCCAATGCCATCAAATAGCCCTACCGTGAGGATGCGATGCTCCTGCCGCAGCTCTGGCAACTGACCTCGAAGGCGCCCCCTGGCCGCCGAAGCCCCTGCTCGGCTCAAAGCCACGGAAGCACACACACCTCCGCCCGTCCTAGACGCGTCACTACAGGTGACCTGTTCATCATATTGCAGCCTGAAGTCCATCCGCGCCAACGGGATGAGGGAGATGAAACGAACCAACTCCACCTTCACGTTGTCAGGGAGCGACAAACAACGCGCTCCCGTCACCTCAAACTGCTGGATAAAGGCCCACACGGCGTTCAAGCTGCCCAACAGCTGTCGCCGAAACATGGAGACGTACACCAAGCCGCCGCACACCACTTGCACCTGGCGCTGGGTCACGACCCTCATATCCAAGAGGGACAAGGTCGCCGCCAGGTACTTCAGGAGTTTACTCTCCCGTGGGTAAGCTACCCCCTCAGTACCGTCAACCTGCGCGCCCTGTACCTCTGCCATGTGACTGCGCTCCACAGTCTTTTTGACATTCCTAGGGACCTCCCACACCTCATATTCCTGCCGCAAAGCGAGCACTGCAGGAGCCAAGCTCCCCTCCAGTGACAGCAGGTCAACCGACTTGACTTTCTCAAGAAGGTCGAAGTTGTCCAAATAAATTCGCCACGAGGGATTCCCACATGTCACAGGCCTGTCTTTACGGAGCTCAGCCTCAGGTGCCATGACCTCGCCTGCGTCACCCGGATGATGCCGACTGCTCCATGTGGCAAGGTTCCTGTGAACATGTTGGGCCAGGCTAACCGAGTTAGCAAATCCCACTGGAAGAACCTTCGAGGCCAGGTACACCTCCTGCCCCTTGAGGTCATCAGGCAAACATTCCTGAGGAACCCTTCGGTTGAACCCTAGAAACTTGTACCAGGCAGGAGGTAGCGCCATGGTTTAAAAGAAGCAGCGAACGTCTTCACTGCTAACCAATAATGTTTCCTCGGGTTGAAGGAAGAAGGGGTTCATCAAACTCCACATTGGCAGGGTATCTACATCCCCCTTGATGGGTTCAGCGATACCGTTGAGCGGAGTCAAGTTCATGATTAACCTAAAAACCTCAAAGTCACCTTCCCATTCATCCTTGGTGACCCCAAAGAGGCCATTCAGGAGGGGTCTCCCGTCAACCTGAAAAAGTTCATCTGCTGGCATTAACCCACAAACCCCAGACCGAACTAGGCCCGTGCACACTTCGGGCCATTCGGCCTCAGGCACCATGACACGAGGCGCCCGTCGCACAATCCACTTTTCACGAGGTTTAATGTACAGGTCCAGATTCTCAACATAATGTCGGGCCCCCAATGAGCAGACCTCTGCTAAAGGGACTCTGCCTATTTCCTTAGGAAGTGCAGGCGCAATATTTCCCCAGCAGAACTCGCGTGCAGTTTTGACTTCATCACCTTTATAGTCAATACCGCGCGTGTTGAAAAACTGATCCCAATCAAACCTCTCCAGTTTCCCATTGAGGCTTTGCAAACGCTTCACATCCTTAACCAGCCATACCAAGCAATCCTTGCACACTTGATTCACTTCACCATCGAACCAGACATCGCCTCCCCAAAGGGAGTTCAACCCAGCACACAACACACACCAACCAAACAAGTTCAAGGGGGCAAAGAGAGGGGAAACAAGCCAACAGTTTACTACTAGAAGTGGGAAGGGGAAACAAAGTATTTTTGCCTCTCCTCCCCGTGGTCTGGCCGCGGAGTGGTATCACCCCTAGTAGCCACTGTTGGACTTTCAGTCCCATCTCTAAAATGCTAGAACCCTCCAATTCACTCCAGCCTTTTTCCACCCCGGATTCATCAGATCCTGGCGTCACCAAGGCACTGTGGCTCTGGCATGGCACCCGATGGCCCAGGTCAACCAAAGGGACCGGGTCACCCAAAGGCGCTCCGATTGGAAAAAACATCCCCCCAGCAGTCGGGCCGTTACCCAGCCCGCTACTTGCCGAGGAGGCATGGGAGCCAAAAGTCCTCTCCCGAAAATCCTGCTCACGTGCTGCCTTCCGGGCATGCCGTGCCGCGGTCGGCCCATCTTCTCCCGAATTATACCTGGGAGTAGGAGCATCTTCTACTTGCTCTCTCCTTTCCCTTTGCCTTGCCAGCGGGCTCGGGAGTCTAAGTAGCTCTCCCGTTGAGCTGACTGAAGCTCGCCCCTGGCCATCAGCGCAGCCGAGTCGCTTGCTGCCAACTCGATTTTCTGCGCTACCGGCCAGGCCGTTCCGCCGATGACGGCTTCCTGAGCCTTCAGCCGCGATGTCCAGCGTCAAGGCAGGCTTGCCTTGCAAAAGGGAGTCTATTGCAGTCGAGATGTTCAACAACTCCCGGCTCTGCGCTCCCGTGGTCTTGCGACCCAGTATGTTGCGAAAGTACAACAGGGCGACAGGCCTGACGCACAGGGCATCGCCTTGTTCCCCCGCTGTCGCCAAAAGGCTCTTCCGCATACTTAGGAGCGTTTCCATAGCCAGCGCTCCCGGAAACTTCTCTGACAGCAGCTTGGCCTTCGTTTCTTCCGTGAAGACCCCCTCGTCCCCCACCGCTGGAGACGTGCTGCTCGTCGAGGAGCTTGAGCTCCCGCTGGAGGCACTCGAGCTGGAGCGCTTGTTCTTCTTCTTGGCTGCAAAATGACTGGCCTTGTGCAGGACTCGACGCCGTATCTTTTCCCGCGGGTCCAAGGCCGTACCTGCGAAGAGCTGGTCCAAACTCTTTTGGACTGCTCTGGACGCATGTCGCCCATTGTGGAGCGTCTCTGACTTCTCCTTTTTCTTTTTCTTCTTCTTGGTTTTGTCCTTCGCCTCGACAGAAACCTCCTCCGACCTGCTCCTCTTGCGCGACTTCTTGGGTTTATTCGCATCCTCTCTCTTGTCCAGAGCCAACTGCCTCTCTCGCAGCCTCACGGCCGCCAGCTCGTCTTCCGCTGGGTCGTCTTTTCCCAACTCTAGGCTTGTCACCCATCCTTCTTCCCCTTCTAACCTCACTCTCCTGCCCTTCAGGGCATGCAGGAGGTAATCTCCGCTTTCTTGCCGATCGCACATTGGGGAGCACAGGTGCAGCCGAAATTCCTGTCCCCTCTTCCCTGAGTGGGCTTTCAGGATCGCTTCGCTGTCTGTCCCTGATAGTTCCATCCAAAGTGACACATCGTTGCGCGTCTGTTCCACCCGCACGATCGTGCCGGCGATCTTCACTGTACCGCCAAAGTACTCCGCCTTCGTAACAGCCAAGGACAACCCTGGAGCCAGCTTGTCGAGGGGCACGGTGTGCAGGTCCACTTCCTGCCCCAGCTCCCAGGGGGTTTGCCCCTCCCCTAGGGCTGCTGGTCGCCGCAAACCCCGCCGGCGAGGAGCAATGACTGCTCCCCCTCCTCCGGCCACGGCTGGCCGCCTCATTGCCGCCATTGCCTTTGGCCGCCCTCCTGCTTTTGCTTTCGGTGCCATTCTTTCTCTTGCTTCTCACGCCGCCTCTCGTCGATCTTCCTCTGTCTGAACTCTTGGGCCCTCTGCCGTTTTTTGAGCCCTCGGCTTCCTCTGCTCTTGGGCCGGTCCGCCTTCCTTTTTCTCCTTGGGAGTGGCTGTCGACTAGGACTGCTGCCCTCGTCGTCACCTGGTCTGGCACCCCGGGGCCGCCCCTCAGGTGTCCTCCGCCTGTCGTCTCGCCGAGTCTTAGCAGAGCCCGCCGCAGGAGACCGCCGAAGGTCCCGCTTCTTGGGCCCACGAGCAGAACTCTTCGGGACTGGGTGGAGCTCCAAGTCCCTCGTCAAGACTGTAAGGGAACTAGGCCCCTCTGTGCCTCCTTCCTTTTTTACCTCAGGTGAGTCAGGAGCACGATCCTCAGTCTCCCTCGCTCTCACCAGTGTCTTGCCCTCTGTGTCGCCCTCTTTTGTTGGTTTGACCTCAGTGTCCACCTCCTCCTCAACGTCCTCTTCCTCTGACGACTCTTCGGAGTATCCACTCTCCTCTCCCTTTTCTCCCGCTGCCTGGCGGGGAGGAGATAGCCCGGAGGTGGGGCTCTTTGTTCCCTCCTTAGGTGTGATGGAGTCTACCCTGTCGCCCTTGGGTAGGTTCTCCTCCACGAGGTCGGTGAGCTCTCCAGCTGCACCTCTCAGCACCTCGGTCACCTTTTTCTCCTGGCTGATCCCAAGGTGCCCGGATCTCAGGAGAGTGCTGATGCGCCTTAGGGCTCTACAAGCCCCGCACACGGGTGTCCCTTGGAACAACCCGCAGTCGGAACACACCATGAGCTAAAGCCCAAACACTACAGGTATAGAAAAGGGGGGTGGATTAGTGACTCTTTAACCCCGGGGGCGTGGGTACATGTATATATGCATATATCCAAGTATAAGCATGTTGTGCACAATGTTTACATCTACAATTACTACAATTATACAAACCCTGATGTTGAACAATCTTGTATATATAGTATACATTGCCATATCTTGTACATATATATATATCACTATCTGTAGTATACTATTACTATATCCATATATAAACACTATACATTTACCATAAATATCCACAAGTACTGTTTATCTCTAACACTAAAATCTCAACCGATCAGCAGCTCACCTCCAGCTGCGTTGCTCCTTTGTGTGCATCTCCCAGGCCTCTCAGTGGATTGGACCAATTGTTTCAACCCAACCAATGGTTAATTGGTATATGTATAATTGGTATATAACGGTATAATATAATGGTATAATGGTATACATCAACCAATTATAATGGTATAATGGTATATGTATATACTTATGGTATATGTATATAGTATATGTCCAGTATACAGACAATATACCAATGGTTGACTTATAATTAGTTAAGTTCTGTATAATGGTATATGTCCAGTTAATGAATATTAACATTAATATAACTTATATAACTAGTAATTGTTGTAAAAACCATGGAAAATACTGATGAAATACCAAGATATCCTGATATCTTAGTTGATGGCTATCATTTAGTAGATGAAACTGGATACAGTAAAAACAAAATCTTTGATCCATCATCTATACCAATGTGGTAAAACCAATGCCACGCCATCCCCAATATCAACATAAATGGCTGGTAAAAAAACATCGCCAAATGGTACGCCGGTTTACCACATTAGTGGTTAAAATTGTGGGTAAAAGAGTGCCAAGAAAAGGATTCCAGTCCTCTCAACAGTTTCAAGTTTGACATTGACCCCAACTGTTGCAACCCATAGGTATGTTCTCATTTCTGGGTTGCAACATGATAATTCACCACACATATGTGGATTCTTATCCCATCATCACTATGAAAGGGGCCCCAGTTTGATCCCTGAATCATCTTCCAGATCCCATTGAAGTCCAAGTTCCATATTTCTTCTCAGGACAGTACCGGGTCAAAATTGAAAATAACATATGACATATGATCGCGAAAATAAACACCGTTGTCAATAACATCATCCATCAATTGATCATTCACCAGGATACCATCGAATCTTTACATACATTGATAGAGTGGTATATTGGTTACAGTATGTATTTCTTTCTACGTACATTAACATAATTGTGGAAAAAATGTATAGTGGTACACATTTCTATGAATTATTGATGTCCATTGGTTATATTGGTTGATTTCTCAATGTTCATCAACTATTGATCAACGCTGCTATTAAATATGTATATAACAAATCTACATTGGCTGATAGATCAAAAATATTGGAAAATGGCTATCTATTAGTGATCTATATTCAGCATCTATATAATTCATCCACATCATTCTATATATTGAAAAATATTATCCATATTCACTATCTATTCATCCTCTATATTAATCTTCATACCAGTATTTATATACATGCATATATACATTATATCATATCTATTTAATTCGCCACTCATAGTTATAGTTGGTTCATCTACATCCTGGATTTGTTCAATCTGGATCTGTCGATGCCTGGAAGGATCTCTTCTGGATCTCATCTAAGACCTCTTGGAACTTTGCATTCGATGCAAGATGCAGCTCTTGGCTCCTGGATAGGGATTGGAAAATCCAGAGAAGTCCTGATGGAATTGTCAATGTCTATGACATCGCTTGGAATACCCATGTTCTACATGTTCCACTTGAGAATATATGTTCGATAAAATAATGTATGGTCTATTGATATCCATGGGTCACTGAATATATCAACACCCAGGGATCCATCGGAATATATCGGAATAGAGGGATGGGGATGATGATGATGATGGTGATGATGATGATGATGATGACGATGACGATGACGATGATGATGATGATGATGATGATGACGATGGCGATGACGAAGGCGAAGACGATGACGATGATGATGATGATGATGATGATGATGAAGGTCAATAGTTGTTCCAATGATTTATATGTATTAACTGCTCATTTGCATAAGCCAGAAACCCCAGCCGTCCTCGTGGCAATTCGATGCGCCGCTCGAAGCCAAAGACGGGCGGCCTCCTGTGTACCATGATTTTTACTGCTATCATGTATTGTATAATATACATGTATACTGATGATAGCACATTTATATGCACTAATATCATATAATATCCGATTATTCCTAATTATCTATTAATGTATATTATATACATTTATATAGGTATTGTGTATACATATAAATATGATAATGATATGATATATCAATGATGTATTTGAATGTGACAAAAGTCTGCTATCTTTCCACAGAATCACAACGGCTGTCTTTGTCCTTGGCCACACGTTGCCAACAGCCATCGGACAGGCGCTGCAATTTTCGCCGTTGACAGGTCTCTTGGTGTCGGCAGCGCCAGCGATGAAGGAGGCGATGGACTTCAAAGTGTGCCTGGACAGGGAACATCACAAAGGTAACAAGAAAATCTCAGGAAAATGTCATTCTTGGCATTTTCGTCCAATGTTTGGGTGTATTTACAAATGTATAGCCATCAAAAATGAAGCCAAAAAGCCTTAAATTGGAGATGTAGCCAGCAGAATGTCACTGTCAATATATCAAAATAAGAATCATAATGAAATGTCCATAGTTTTCATATTTTTTTCCGTTGCCATTTGGGATCTCCAGGTTGTGTTCCCCACATCATTCTCGGCCTGCCGCATGCGGAAGGCCGCCACGTACTGCGAAAGCCTCCGCCGTTGCTGGGCATAGGTCGACCAGCTCTGGAGTGCCGTCTTCAGAAAGCCAAGGAGAAGATGCTTTGCCTCACGAATGTTCTCACAAGATCTTGAGACGTGCTTGGATGCCTCACAACCATTCCAAGCCTTTTCAACATGCAAGAAACTGAATAGCACAAACGTGTTGGAGATGCAAAAATGTGTGTGTGTATATGTATATATATACACAGCAATATTATGTATACTTATTGTATGTATTGCACACATCCCGTCATGTTTCACTATGATCATCCCTTTGTTTCATATCTTATTGTGACAATGCATTACCATAAATCCATTATTACCCATTATCATCGTTTATTCTCAATTATTCTGAATGATTATCCATTGTTATTGATTATCCATTACTAAATCATTACCATCCATTATTATTCATCAATATTTATCCACTATCATCCATTGTTGTAGTTTATCCATTGTTATTCATCATTGTTTAGCAATGATTGTCCATTATCCTCAATGATCATCCATGAATTATCCATTATTATCCATTATTGTTATTGATCATCCATTGCTTATCCATAATTTCTCCCTTATTCTCAATGAAATATCCATTATTCTCAATGATATAGCCGTATTTTTAACAATGAAATATCCATGATTATCAATGATTTATCCAGGATTTACCAATGCATTATCCATGATTTATCCATGATTTATGAGTAAATCACCACTTTTCTGTGGGCCTTCTCACCAGCCAGACTCAGCAGCTGCCGGGAGTACGACTTGATCCGCGCCTTCGGCTGCATGGGATTCATGGGGGAAACCATGGGAGTGGTTTTTGTCATAAAACCCTGGTTTATGGAATATCATAACTATGAGATATATAGATATGGGATATCCCATGGGATTATATATAGATATCATGGGTTTATGAGATATTTATCAAAACTTTAATATAAACCATGAGACAAATCATTAACCCAGCTTTGCAACCCAACAGCATACCTGAATCTTCCACCTACGTCTTTTCTCAGACCCTGTGCCAAAGTCCTGTTTTTTCAGTACCCAGAAAACTTTTCAGGACCTACTCTCAAATTCAGGACCTGGCCATTTTGGGGTATCAATGGTAATGGCAATCATTGGGTGCAAACATGTGAAACCAACATTTGGTGGATATTCAAGCCATTGGCATTGATCCACGCAAATAAAAAACTCCCAGCCCAAACTCATGGCAAGGCAGGATCAGAATATAGTATATTCCAGAAAGTATGTCAGAATAGATGCCAGATAGGATGCCAGAAAGAATGTCAAATAGAATCTCAGAAAAGAATGTAAGATAGTATGTCAGAACATATATGCCACATATACGTCCAGATGATATGTCAGAAATTATGTCAGAATAGTGTGTCAGGGTGGGGATCACTCTTAGTAAGGCAATTTTGAAAATATATTTCAGGTTCGGAATTTTCAAACTGTTGTCCTTCAGGCGCCGAAGCTCCCGTTGAAGGTCAGCATCGCCCCATGTCAACTGGTCCAGTCCCACTTCCATTTCAACAAGTCCAACTTCATCGATTAGGGTGTTGGTTGGATGGACTTGGGACTCTAGCTGGCACGGCATCCCTTGTAACCCTGTAGACACTGTAGTGGGCAAAAAGATTGTAACACACAGAATCAGCATCATTTTGATCAGGCATTCTTTTTGCTAATCCTTTCTCCCTATTACGAAAAATACCCCCAAATGACAAAAACTAGGTGCGATTTCCAATTTTGGGAAATGTCAAATTGGTTAATTTGATTTTTAATTGATCCCCTTGAGGAAACAATTTTAAAAATGAAGGTACCATGTGAGGGTTTCACCCCCAAAGAATAAAAAACTAGTCAACACCGGGGTGTCTTTTATTGGGGTCCGTCCTTTAAAATCGTCAATTTTAGTTTTTTTAATTCAGGTGTTGGTGTTTTATTTGATACTAGGCGAAAGCTTCGAAATCCTATTCTTGGCAGTATTCTATTTAAAGATTATTTTCATGGATTTTGAAATTAGAAACAAAAAACGGTTTAATCCCTTCCCCCTGTTGCTAAACAGTCGCCCCTTCACCCACCCACCCAAATAACAAACACCTGGAGGAGTTTTTAGTATTGGGGGGGTCTTTAGTATTAGGGTACGAAGCTTCCCCCTAATACTGATAAAAAACACACATATATATATACACATATTTCTATTTCAAAATCGATCAGATTTCTTTCTTTTTAAATCCAATTAAAATATGGCAAACAAGTGGATTCCGAAGCTTAATATCAAATAAAAACCCCCAACATAAAAAACTATGTATGTTTTTCTATTTCGAAATCGATTAGATTTCCTTTTAAAAATTAAATAAAATATGGCCAAAAAATTGGATGTCGAAGCTTTTCCCTTATATTAAACCCTAATATCATTTGTTTTTTTTCCTGTTTCAAAATCGATTAGATTTCCTTTTGAAATCTAATGAAAAAAACAAAAAATTGATTTTGAAGCTTTCCCCTAATATCAAATTAAAATCCAATTATTAAAATATGTTCAAAAATTGGATTTCGATGCTTCCCCTAATCTTGCATGAAAAATTCCAATATAAAAAACTAAATTTGTTCTATTTCAGAATCGATTAGATTTCCTTGTAAATTCAAATTAAGATATTGCCAGAAATTGGATTTCGAAGCTTTCCCCTCATATTAAACCCTCATATCAAAGACTATTTTTTCTATATCAAAATTCATTAGATTTCCTTTTGAAATCTAATTAGAATATGGTCAAAAATTGGATTTTGAAGTTTTCCCCTAATATTACATTAAAAAACCCTAATATAAAATATTATTTTTTCTTTTTTGAAATCGATTCGATTTCCTTTTAAATTGTAGTAACAAAAATAAAAACAAAAACCGGATTTCGAAATGTTTCCTCTAATATTAAATTACCAGCCCTAATATATTTTAAAAAAAAAACTGTTTCAAAATCGATTAGTTTTCTGTTTAACATATAATTAAGATATTGCTAAAAATTGGATTTCGAAGTTTTCCCCTAAGATTAAATTAAAAACACTAAAAAAAAACTATGTTTTTTCGATTTCAAGAATCGATTAGATTTCCTTTTGACATCCAGCAAAAATATTGCCAGGAAATGCCAAAAAGTGGATTTCGAAGTTTTCCCCCAATATTATATAAACGTTGTAATATAAAATACTTATTTTTTCGACCTTAAAAGACCCTAGTTTAAAAAATCACCGGGGCTGACTAGTTTTTATTTTTTGGTGGTGAAATCCTGAAATGGGACCTTCATGTTTAATTTGTTTTTGAAAAGGTATCAATTAAAAGTCAAACTGGCCAGCCTGAAATTTCCCAAAATTTAACGCGGACCCTAGTAAAAGGAACCAATGTAATATTTTTGTATTTAGGGTACGTTTAGTAAAAGGAGGTGGGGATTTGTAAGGTTTTCAATTTAATATAAGGGGAAGCTTCGAAATCAAATTTGGCAAGATTTGAGTTAGATTTTGAATAGGAATTCAATCGGTTTTGAAATATAAAGTTCATTTTTTTAAACGAATGTTTTCAATTTAATGTCAGGGGGAAGCTTCGGAATCCAATTTTGGCAATATTTTAGTTAGATGTTATTTAAAAAATGTTTTCCAATTTAGTTTTTTTTAACCAAAGGGGAAGTTTCGCACCCTCATACTAAATACCCACTAGATACAAAAACTATTCCGTGTGTTCATTATTGGGTGGGGAGGGGCAGACGGTTTTTTATGACGCAGGGATTGGTCAGGCATCACTTGCTGGAATTATTGGATTCTTTTGGGATGATTGGTATGATGTTTAGTCAGGCATGGTTCCCTTCAGTCATGCACGATTTTTGCAAAAATCCTATTTAGGCACGACCCCAAAATCCCAGCCGGCAAATTCAGGCCCGGCAAATTCCGGCCCCCGGCAAATTCCGGCCCGCGCCCTGCAAATTCCGGCCCTGCGTTTTTCCAAAATCAGGCAAAACCAGTAAATCAGGTATTAAGTCAGGTGTAGTTACCTTTTAAGTCATTAAGGCTAGTCAGGCATGGTTCAAGTGGGTACCTTTTAATTGTGAAGGCTAGTCAGGCATGGTTCCCTGAATTCAGGGGCATGGGTACCTTTTAATTATGAAGGCTAGTCAGGCATGGGTTCTGTTAAGTCAGGCGTGGGTGGGTATCTCTTAATTATGAAGGCTAGTCAGGCATGGTTCCCTTAAGTCGGGTGTGGTTACGCTTTAAGTCATGAAGGCTAGTCAGGCATGGGTACCTTTTAAGTGATGAAATCTGAATCAGGCGGAGCTCCTATTCTAAATGTGTTAAATCCAATTGTTCAGTGTGGAAAATCGATTTTTTGGCTGGTCTACGGGCAAACCCTGTGTCTTCCAATACCATAGCGTGCTGATGTCGCTTGCCTGCATAATAGTTAAGGCCAAAGCTTAGGTCATCAGTGTGATCCTGAAATGGCGCCACGACCAAGAAGATGACATGTGTAAAATGGGCCCTGGATTAACAAAGGCTGACTAATGAATTTGGAGGATGCCACTAAAGTATGACATGTAATCACTTTTGAGGAGCACTCTATGGCACGCAGCGCGCGCAGCCTGCTTTACGGTTTAGCGTTTGAAAGTTTTAGGCTTTGCCTCTATGGCACGCAGCGTTTGAAAGTTTAACCGTTTACCTCTATGGCAGGCTGTGCGCGCAGTACGCGTTACGGTTTAAAGTTTGAAAGTTTTAGGGTTTATGTGTGTGGCACGCAGTGCGCGCAGCGCGCATTAAGGTTTAGGGTTTGGAAGTTTTATAGTTTATTTTATTGCATGCAGCGTGCACAGCGTGGGTTGAACTTTAGGGTTTCGAAGTTTTAGGGTTAACCTCCATGACACGATGGTTTAGGGTTTGGAGATTTTAAGGGGTACTTCTATGGCACACAGCGCGCGCAGCGCGCGTTAGGGTTTAGGGTTTAGGGTTTGGAAATTTTAGGGTTTACCTCTATGACACGAGAGTTTCAGGTTTGAAGATTTTAGGGTTTATTTCTATTGCACAAAGCGCGCGCAGCGCGCATTAGTGTTTAGGGTTTGAAGGTTTTAGGGTTTATCTCTGGCACGCAGCGCGCACAGCACGCATTAGGGTTTAGGGTTTGGAAGTTTTAGGGTTTATTTTATTGCATGCAGCGCGCACACCGCGGGTTTAACTTTAGGGTTTGGAAGTTGCATAACACGATGGTTTAGGGTTTGGAAATTTTAGGGTTTACTTCTCTGGGACACAGCGCGCGCACCGCGCATTAGGGTTTAGGGTTTGGAAGTTTTAGGGTTTTCTTTATTGCATGCAGCGCGCGCAGCGCGCATAGAGTTTAGGGTTTGGAAGTTTTAGGGTTTCAAGGGTTCCAAGGTTCCAGGGTACCAGGGTCCCACGGTTTCGGGGTTCCAAGGTTTCCAGGGTTCCAAGGGTTCCAAGGGTTCCAGGGTTTCAGGGTTCCAGGATCCCAGCAGGGTGCCAAGTGTGCAGGGTTGCAGGGTTCCAAGGTTCCAGGGTTCCAAGGTAGCAGGGTTCCAGAATCCTTGAGGGTTCCAGGGTGCCAAGGTTCCAAGGTTTCAGGGTTCCACGGTCGCAGGGTTCCAAGGTTCCAGGGTTTCAGGGTTCCAGGGTTCCGGGGTTCCAGGGTTCCGGGGTTCCAAGGTTTCAGGGTTCCAGGGTTCCAGGGTACCAGGGTCCCACGGTTTCAGGGTTCCAAGGTTTCCAGGGTTCCAAGGGTTCCAAGGGTTCCAAGGGTTCCAAGGGTTCCAAGGGTTCCAGGGTTTCAGGGTTCCAGGATCCCAGCAGGGTGCCAGGTGTGCAGGGTTGCAGGGTTCCAAGGTTCCAGGGTTCCAAGGTAGCAGGGTTCCAGAATCCTTGAGGGTTCCAGGGTGCCAAGGTTCCAAGGTTTCAGGGTTCCACGGTCGTAGGGTTCCAAGGTTCCAGGGTTTCAGGGTTCCAGGGGTTTCAGGGTTCCAGGGTTCCGGGGTTCCAGGGTTCCAGGGTTCCAGGGTTCCGGGGTTCCAAGGTTTCAGGGTTCCAGGGTTCCAGGGTTCCAGGGTTCCGGGGTTCCGGGGTTCCAAGGTAGCAGGGTTACAGGGTTCCAGGGTTCCAGGGTTCCGGGGTTCCAAGGTTTCAGGGTTCCAGGGTTCCAGGGTTCCATTCCGGATTTTGAAGGCTGCAAGTCCCCGCGAGCCAGCCCCAGCCCTAGAGATTGAAACCCAACAGGCCCTGCTGTTGGGAATAACTATGGAATATTACTATGGGATATATATATATGAGATATCATTTAGTAATATCTATGTATATCTTTTATATGAAACATAACTATGGGATACATATAGATATTACTATGCTATTACTGTGAATATTGTCATTTTATGTTACTGCATACTTATGGGACTATAATATAAACCATGTATCAATAATAGTGGTGTTATTAATGTTATTAAGAAGTTATGCCATAGTAGTTATTATGATTAAGGGATTTTATGCCATATGACTAATAAATGTGTTTCACATAATAGTGAAATGGACTTAATTGGTTTTACAATGATCCATGGACGATCCATAACTCTAGTCAGCAATAACTCATAATGACAGTGCATTATTTAAACTGACCATACTAACCATGGATAGTCAATTCTGGGATATATCCTAGAATTCGTTCCAAGATGTGTGACAATTCTGTTGGTCAACAAAAAAGACATGAATATCTCCATGTTTGCTGACAGTATGGGTTAATGGCATGGGGAATATCCCATTTTGGTAACCTGGTAATGGAACCCACCATTTTCGGCCAGGTCAAATGATCGCGAATTTCGGCTAGGTATTCCATGATAGTCCCATGGTTTCAAAGCATGATTTGTCCGATATATCTTCGTATGATTTCCTATTAGATGTACCAATGTACCATGGAGATTGCCATTGCCATTGCTATGAGTTACACTGGGATCAGAGCTGGGATAGTCTCCCATGGTCATTTCATGTCGCACCTGCTGAAAGAGCTCGAAGATCACACGTCTCTGGGCGAAACGACTGCGCCTATTGCGCTTTTCCACCACCAAAATGTGCAGATGCAGAAACGTGGCACAGGATTTCACCCTGAAATCCCCATGGTGAAGTGTCGAAGGCATGGCTACAAGGCATTGGCTACGCAAAATATACCAGCCATAAAAGCACCACAGCGGCTAGATGGCCATAGATTCTCAGTTTCAACGTTAAAATGTTTGCAACGTCCAATCTCCACTGTGGCACCGTTCCATCCTCTGAGCTTCCAAGCTTCTCGTTGCACGCATCGATCAATGCAGCCATTCGCTGCTGCTCGTGGATATAGTCCTACACATGACAGGAATCCAATTGAAACGGCTCTAAAAAATAATTGTTGTATAGTCACGCAACAGAAAACCGTTCGCGGTTGTGCTACTACCACGAAGTTGAAAATCCAGCACATTAGATGCATGTTCCATGGCAAATGTGAAAGGAACCCCACGTCTATCTTGATTTCCAAACAATTCAAGACGATTGGTTTTGCCCGAAAAATGCACGCGATTACCGGTTTTTTCGAAAAATCCGTCGTTTCAATTTTACATCATTCTTGGATTCCCGCTGTTCGTGACCAGAATTCTGTTTCCCTCATCCAGCTCCTGCCATCGCCGAAGCGCGCAGCGCGCATGCTGCAGCTGTCGTCTCTGCTGCAGCACTTGGGAGCTGCGGAAGAGGGATGCAGCCTGACGGAGATGGGATGAGGCCGGTGTACTGAGGTGTTTACTGAGGTGTTTACTGAGGTGTTTGCCCAACTCATTTGTTTGAAAATGCGAAGATTGGTGTTTTTTAATTAATGTTTTTTACATTACTTTCAATGCCATTTCTGAACCAAAAAAAGCTGCCGTCCACCGGGGTTTTTCAAATGTGCCTGGCACCTGGTGCCACCTGTTCAGCGCAGCGCGGCAACCATCCAGCACCATGGCGTGGCACCATTGCTCCGCGACCTGGAAAATTGTTGGCACTTCTGACTTTTTCTGCTGAATGAAGCAGTAAATCACGTTGGCAACTCATATCAACTCAATTTCCTAGGTCTTGGCTGGTACTCTCAACAAAAATTGCGCTACATTTGATCAATTTTTTCCGCAGTACTTTTAGGGCCTCATCGCATTCGCGGCAGGAGTCCAAGAGACCTGGGAGTTGAAAGGATTTTATCTGGTTTTGTTTTTTAGATTATTTTCACAGGTTAATAGCCCATTCATAGTTGTTGTTAGCTATAGCTATATTTAATGTTAACAGGTTAGATGATTTTCTTAATATCTGGTTAATATAGCTTTAAAAAAATGTTTAAAAGCCTATTCAGAGCCAGAAATGAAATGGGGATGAGACATCGGGATTTCTCTACGATTGAATGGGAGTCAAATATGGGTCAAATGTGGGGTTCAACATCGGTGGACTCAGTTGATCGCACCAGTTGTGGCCATCAAATATCGGGTTTCTCCTAAATGGATGGTGTACAAAATTCTATGGTAATCTTAATGGGGAACATGACGTTACCCATTGGACTTCGGAATACCCGGTTACCCTAACTTCGCACAAAGCCATTTAATTACTGGTACCAGCCAGCTTCAATCCATAAAAATCAGGGAGAAATACAACAGGGTAACGCCGGGTAATGGTGGTTGATTCAACCCAGAAGAATGGAGCTATCGACAGGTGAGGATAGTCACTGGATAGTGACCAATGTTGTGCTGGGAACAGCTGGTCCGAAGGACAAGGGAAGGCAAGGGAAGGCAAGGGAAGGCACAGTGGCATGGCAGAAGCTTTCCGAAACGAAGAAAGTGGAGAGCGACATCTCTGCGAGTTGTTGAAGTTGTTGAAGTTGTTGAAGTTGTTGAAGTTGTTGAAGTTGTTGAAGTTATGGCGCCTTGTTGAACCTTTACCAATCTTTACAACATTCAACAGGACATTCACGCGTTGAATCACAGGAATCACAGAAATCACAGACCAAGGTGCCGATCCACGCGTTCCAAGAGGACTGCATGCTGACTGACAAGCTTTGGCTGATCACTATTGAAGCGCTCCTGGGCTCGGGCTGCAACAACGGAGAATTTTTCAAAGGGAAAGGAAGAAATTGAAAAAATGTTTGCTGGTTGTTGATGTTACTGATGTCGAACTGAAAAAATGTTTGTCACCTCTGGATCATCATCCCCAATGGGCAAATGGAGAACATATACAAGTATTTGAAATCATCAACCAGCATCCAGAAGACTGACATTGTTACCTTTCATGAAAAAAGAAACCAATCACAGAGGCGTCACAATTTGGCAGCTTGAAAAGGGCAAGTCTTTCTTCCAAACTCAGACTGGATCCTGGATCAATGTATCCTCCCCACAGCCATGAATAACCATGACCATAACCCCCATAATTCCATTCAATTCACCCAAACAATATCGGAAATCAATAGGTTTCGACCCATCTCAGAAATGGGTAGAATCCAAAATCATCATAATCGATCATTATCCCGGAAGATCCCCGCTTTCCCGGTTTTTTTCTCATACCCTGTTTTGATTGCCGATAGGAAGTTCTGCCACTTGGATCCCAAAAATGTGGCACCCAAAATAGCCATTTAAACAGTTTAAACTGGGAAATGGTGTCATAAAAGCATTGGACTATTGGACTTTAGAGATATTCGATTGACAATGTGAAACATAGCCACATAAACCATCATGTTTCAGCATTTTTCCTCGTTAAAGCCAAAATTACCAGTACCATAAACCCCAATGTTGATTTGTTTCATCACCATTTTTCCTGCCGGTTTAAACCCTCTTCAGGAAATCCGCGGGGATCTCCACCATGATAAACCCATCTAACCTTGAGTTATCATCGTCAATTTTGGTGATCAAATGTGATCAATATCAATGAAATAATGAAACAATCTAGTGCAATATCTATTCCGGTCATACCCCATGATATGGCGCTCGAAACCCTTGTACCCTGCTCACACCACAATAGGTGAGTTATGGGAGTTCATCCCAAAAAATATCGTGCAGACAATCATTACACTCCCATTAAACCACCATTGTTGATTGTTGATGCTCAAATTCGTTAAGTCCCCGGCAAATCCTTGGTGTTTGACCAATCCCCATATACCCAACGTATACAAGGTGAGGCCTGATAGTTATAAGTTGGTTTACAAATCACATTCACTATAGTTATATCCCCCATAAACCATAGTATTCACCAAAAAATGCGCGTCAACTTAGCTATCTAAATCCCAATAACCATTAATTCCCATTGAATCCCATTAAATCATATGAAAAACCCTTCAAATCCCAACATCCCAGAAACTGCGCAATTGCCCAGCGTCTCTTCACGTTTTCGCCGCGCAGCCTGTGTCAGCTGTCGCCAGCTTTTCAGCAGTTGCGCAGCAAACTGCTGGCGCTGCAAACGGCGCTGCAATTCAACAGCTTGGCGCCTCGAAACGGGAAACTGATGGAACAAACACAAATCGAGCGATGGAAAACCCTGGAGGAACAAAAAACGGTGGAAAAACATGATGCGAAAACGATGAAAACACGTGGGAATCGAGCCGTGACATCAACAGAAAGGCGGAAATGGCATGAAAAACTGTGAAAAAACATGATCAATTTGCAAAGTACATGGTAAAACAAATGTCTTTGCTGTACCATCTGTACCCAAAACAACTTTGAAACGGTGTTCAAATTCGGAAAAATCTGAAACGGACAGTTGCCTCATTCCGGACTCATTCCGTTTTATCAAGCAGAAACCGAGGCTACACCGCCTGTGTCGGGATGCTGAACCGCATGCACAAACACGCCATCCTAAGAAAAGCATCGACAAAAATGGGGTCTCCGCTTTCATATTTGCAAGGAGGGCACGAGTTGCTGTGAACAGCAACCCAAAACATCTTGAGTTGTGCGTGCGATTACGTTGTACGTTTGGTGCAATTATGTTTAGTAAACCTCTGTTCAATCCATATAACGGATATAATTCAAAGGAAACAGTTTTCACGTTTTCCTTTGGGGGGGAACATTGAACATACCATGTGAACATCCATTTGAACAGGTACCGTACATCATCGTTTTTTAAGGCTTGCATGGTCCGCAGTGCTATGTATGCACTTATGCACTTATGCAGTATGCATGGTATGTATGGTGTGTATGTTTTGTATGAGCGTAAATGTTGTGTATGCTATGTATGTGTATGTGTATGTTATGTACCCTATGTGTGTGTGTGTTATGTTACGTATGTTACGTATACTTCATGTGTTAGGTATGTAATGTATGTTCTGTATGTTGTGTGCAGTATGTTATGCAGCAAATGTATGTAGTGTATGTAATAAATGTAATGTATGCGATTTATATATATATGTATAGGATGCATGATGTATGTCATGAAATAATGAAATATATGCTATGTGTGTAATGTACTTAATGTATGTAACGCATGTAATGTATGCAAGGTAGGACATGTATGTAATGTAAGACATCAATGCAATGAAACGCAATGGTGTGTAATATTATGTAACGGTGTGTAAGCTTACGTAATATTTTGCAATGTTATCTTATGTAATGTTAAGTTGTGAATGTAATGTGTTAAAATGTAATGTAACGTGATGAGATGTGATGTGATGCAACGTGTGCATGCATGCATGTAAATGGCTATCATCAGCCTAAATAGTTCAAAAATCAATGCAATGCATACATATATTCGTACTATGTCTATCCCTCTTTGCGTGTGAAAAAAAAAACTTATCTCTGTACATGAACATACCTCTATACATATATATATATACATACATGTTTTAAAAAAAAATGCATACAAAACATACATGCCATAACATAACATATCTTAACGTTACATTGCATTGCATTTACAGTACATGTATAAGCATATCCATACATACAGTACATTGAAGTGCCTGTCATTACATTGCAGATTACGTTGCAATACATGTCATTACATACGGTTGACATGATCTCCATCTGTTCAAGGTAACTTCTCCTCTTGCACGGCGCTCCTTCGAGACTTTGTTGTAGCCTCTTTCGCTTCTGCCACTTGCGAAACTGGCGAATGGAGATTGATGGGCTTGGGGTATGCGGATGCTAGTTCTGGCTCAAACCAGGGATACATAACATGTTTGGGGGGGTTGTTTGAAAAGGGAACTAGATTCTGAGGAAAGTTCCTGGGGGTTTACTGTAGCCATCAATCGTAGTGATGGTGAACCATGGGATTCAATGGGCGAGATTTAGTTTGTCAAAAAAAGTGAGAAACCGGGATACCAAAGTTTTTTGCAATGTTAGGATGTTCTAAGCCTCTAAGCCAAAGGATTTTGAAGCTTTTCACATTTTTGAACAATCCGATACCAGTATCGAAGACTATCTATCTGCTCATGTGTAACAAAAATCCGATTGAAGCAATGATGATTTCACTTTATGTTACATATATATATACATATATGATGACATATCAGTCATGTCAATTCATAAAGCATACCTGGTATATCGATGCTGTTGATCCGTTTTCATCGACCACACTGCATGGCTGAATCTGGTGATCACGACAACCAAGGATTGCATGGGGATGCGGGATCCAATCGTGAGGGTAGCCATTTGCAAAATGAACCCATAAGTGTTAAGCAAACTTTCATACACTTCTGTTACATCTGTTACACCAAACTAAAATGTTTTTGTTTCGAAAGTTTAGAAGTGTTGAATTCTGAGAAAACACAATGCTCCCCATTCGGATTCAACATGATTCACCTCACCTGTTGTTCCCAGCTTCCACCTCCAAAAGGTCGCTCGGCTGCTTTCGGTGTGACAGCCGCCCCTGGGCATGGCTCAAGAATTTGGGGCACCTGTTACCAGAAAATGCTGCTCATCTTATCTTAAACATTTACCAAATACACATAAATGCATCTTATCATCGTCCATTTTGGTGATTGTGGACCCGTCCCCATGTGATGCAGTTGTTGCAACAGCTTCAACAGCTTCAACAGCTTCAACAGCTTCAACCATCGCTCATAGCAGGCAAGAGAAGTGGCTCAGAGAGGTGCAGTGGAAAGGTAGCATTGCTGAAACAAAACAATTAGCTAATTAGCTCTTCAATGCTCTTCATGAAGCCCTTCAGTCACTGTTTTCGCCATTCACTCACTGATTCGTTCATTCAGTGATTGAGTCAGTCACTCAGTCAGTCAGTCACTCAGTCACTGAATTCGTTCATTCATTCATGAATTCATTCCACGATTCCATTCAGTCCATTCAGTCCAGAAATCTCAAGTGTGACCACGCTGTTTGGAGAATCGTTTTCCCCATTGAAACCATAAAATTGTGGCCCATCCTGCCCATCCTCGTCACCCTGGAAACATCAGAGCCTGGTGGCCCATCAGATGCTGATTCTGCACCTACAGGATCCATGACGAGGTCAGGAATGTGAGCCTAAGGTGAGCCTGGTGACGCCCTCAGCAAGAAATTAGTCTGAATAGTCTGAATAGTCATCAATATATTGAATATGTCTGAATAGTCAATCTAGCGATCTGATTCCAACGACGGAGTTTCAAGATCTTTCGAGTCCGCTTTTTCTGCGAACCGATAGCTGGCACCGCTTGCCACGGGAATGGTTTTTAGAGTGAAACGTGCCTACTCGGGTTCGAAATTTCCAAAAGTAAACAGCTCAGTAAAAACTTTCTGCGCTGTATCTGAGATTAGCTCAGTATCAACTTGAGCTTGATCGAGAATCAATTCGATGCAAAAAGAAAAATGCCCCAACATGATCGATCTGGGTATCTGTGTTTGAATATGTTTGAATATGTTTGAATATGTTCGAATATCCCGAGTCATGGGCGCAACTGCATTTGAATTTCGGGGACTGCGTTCTTAGGACTTGGGTTTCGGATGGGTTCACAACCCAAGGAAGAGAAACAGTCTTAAAATTGTGGGAAACAGACAACTTTTTGGAACTACTTTGGGAGTATCCCAAGATAAAGTTCACTGCGGTGCCCTTCCAGCTCTGGATGGAGAAACACTGAACAGAACATGGTTCAAGCTGCTGTGAGTAAACCAGCCATGAAACAAAATCACTCCAACACCACACCAAAGTTAAACCAAAAGATACAAGAGTTGCGTGGGCAGAATCGCAGATGGGAGCATGTCACGATGTGTTATGTCATCTGCAAACAGACGCTGTTCATCGCTGTTCTGTTCTGTTGACAGCCGAATCACGCGCTGAGTTGAAATTACATGCAAGACACACATCATGTCTCAAGTTCTCGCGCATAGTCGGGACTTGCCCGGTACCTTCAAAGATCTCTCAAGATACGAATTGGTGGTCCATTTTGATCCTGCATCTTTGCGCAATCGCGCACTACACCGAAAAGCAGTCCAAAGCTCCGCAAGATCCCTGAGTCACTTGTTTGGGTTCAACCTCCACAAGGCTGTCTACTGCACCTTGGGCGACACGGCGGAAGTACGTCCCCTGAATTTCGATCTGCAGCTGGTACACAATCTCCTCACAAAGCACTGAATGAGAATCGTGGTCACTTTCAGGGCCAGGCCAAAAAGTGGTGTGTGTTTTTGTTCCTTCATTTTATATGTCACAATTGTCACAATGTCATTTCTATGTTCCATTCAAAAAATCATGGGAGAAACCTCCGTTTTCACCAATTTTATAGCTTACAGCAACTGAAACACAGTGTCCTGGGGCTCTTGTTTTTCGACATCCAACTGCTCCAGGAGACTCCAGATGCGTTGCCGCATTGCATCACGTTTGTGCTTGCGCGGCCGGGATGGAGCTGCCTGCGGTGCCACAAGGTGATGGCAGAAGGCGCAGGCGTCACCCCGCTTGCAGCCCGCGGACGTGAAAAACAAACACCTCACGTCACGTGGAGATCACGTGGAGATCACGTGGAGATCACGTGGATCAACAAACTCAAACCAAAAAAAGGATGGAAAAGGCTCTGCCGAGCAGCACTTTCTGAATCATGTTCCCTGTGTGTGTACATTTTTGTGATCGAAAAATCGGCGAACATTCGAGGATTCAAGCAAATAAAACTGGCAGAACGTGATCAAATGAGTATCATCGAATCATCAAGTATCATCAAGTATCATCAAGTATCATCAAGTATCATCAAGTATCATCAAGTATCAAGTAGGAAAGGAAAAGTTGCGAATGTGTACTCTTGAGCTGCGTGACTGATTGCAAGGCAATCGTGAGTGTTCAGCCATTGACGTGAAAGTCACTGGTGGCACCGGTGGCACCAGTGGCACCGTTTCTCCAGATCCAACTGAACTCGATGCAGGTCCATTTGAACTGCTCGATCCCTCTGCCATTGTTTGAAACGTAAAGGGAGACTCGAATGATCTAGTTACTCTAGTTCGCTCCCTAACCAAAACGGCAGCAGCAATGACAACAGATGTTTGTAGATGTGAGAGTCTTGAGAGTCTTGAGAGTTTTGGTCTATTTTTTTGTCTCATGCAGCTGAATGTCTGGTGGCTCATGGGGTATCTGGTTGGACCATGACGAAAAAATGCAGGTCATTTTGGGACTTTGGATCTGATCCAAAACCATCACTTTGACAAAAACGTGGCCAGCGATGGCACCGATGCCTCATTTGCCAGCGATGCCACAGCCATCCTCATTGTTTTCAGCGGTCGAAGTCGCAAACAGGTGGACATGTCATGTCCGGTTCCCAGTTCTTCATTGCCCAAGAGTGTCTTGCAGAAACCACTTGGTCGTCCCCAACTTCGGGCTCAATTTTGGTCATCTGCCAGAATCCATGATGAATCCTGACCTTCTTAGGCCCGAGCCGTTTCGACACAGCCTGAAAAAATGCCCGACAAAATGGGAAAAACTGGAAAAACTCTCAAAAAGTGTCCTAAATATCCCTAAACTCTCATTTTTCCTGCCATTGGGGTGAGCCCCTTTGGACAAGCCCAAGCGGCTGGAGCAGCAAAAATGTGATCATGTCCGTACTTTCCATCTTTCAACCATTGCGAGGTGTCAATGGTTGTGGTCAGGGAAATGTCGTGAAATGTTCATGTTCCATTAAGACTCGACCACAAGTTCCACGCACCATTTTTGCTCGCTTTCAGGTTGAAATTATGTGAAACTCACAGAAATTCTGAGATTCTCAAGTTTTCACTGATTTCATCAGTTTAAAGTTCATCTTATGTCATCTTTCCATATTTCTCCACTTCACCATGGGATGGTATGGCCCCATGGCCCCACGGCCACACGGCCCCATGGCCATAGAACGACCTCTGCACGGCACCATCGTCAAACTGCACCAGCGCCAGCATCAAACAAAGGGATTTAACATGATTTAACTGGATTGACCCATGGACCCCTCCAAAATTTGCCCAAAAATTGATGGGACACTGCAAATCGCCATGTTACTTGGGAAAATGATGCTCTAATTCCAATCCATTGGAATTGGGGGTAACCCATTTTCAGACAGATTCAGAACCAAAAACTGTGCTTTGGGGCTCACAGGGATCAAAAGGAACGGAGCAACTCTGCAAAACAATGTGATGTTGATCACATGAATAGGCCATAAAATCATATCACTGCAATGCCAACCGACAATGGAACAACAATAAATGACAACAAAATACCAGCAGCACGGCACAAAGCGGCGGCGGAAGTTTCAAAGATATGAAACCTATAGGAGAACTTGGTTGTTGTGATGCATGGATGGCAGAGCGAATCCACTGATGGACCGAAAGGTGGTTGGAGTTGTGTTTTTTGGAGCGGTTGCAATGGTTGCAGTGGTCACCTCACCCACAACTGCTGGATGTAGTGTGCTATAGCGCAGTTGTAGCTGTAGCGTAGTTGTAGTTGTAGTTGTAAGTTGTAGTGTAAGTTGCAGCTGCAGTTGCAGTTGTAGTTGTGGTGTGGCGTAAGTAGTGTAGTGTATTGTAGTGTACAGCAGTGTTGTGTACTGTAGCGTGGTATAGTGTAGTGTAGTGTAGCGTAGTGTAGTGTAAAGTAGTGTAAATTGGTGTATTTGTAGTTGTAGTGTGGCGTAATGTAATTAGCGTAGTGCAGTGTAGCGTAGCGTAATGTAGTGTAGTGTAGTGTAGTGCAATGTAGTGGTAATTGTTATTGTAGCTGCAGTTGTAGTTGTAGTTGTGATGTAATGTAATTAGTAGTGTAGTGTTGCGTTGTGTAATGTAGTGTAGCTGTATTCGTAGTTGTCGTTGTAGTTGTGGTTATAGTGTACTGCAGTCCAATTAGCGTAGTGTAGTGTAATGTGGCGTAGTTGCAATTGTAGTTGTAGCTGTGATAGTTGCACTTGTAGTTGTAGTTGTAGTTGTTGTTGTTGCTGTGGTATGGTACAGTACAGTATAGTAAAGTATCGCATCGTATAGTATAGTGTATAGTATATAGTATAGTATATAGTATAGTATATAGTATAGTATATAGTATAGTATATAGTATAGTATATAGTATAGTATATAGTATAGTATATAGTATAGTATATCGTATAGTATATCGAATAGTATATCGTATAGTATATCGTATAGTATATCGTATAGTATATCGTATAGTATATCGTATAGTATATCGTATAGTATAGTGTATAGTATATAGTATAGTATATAGTATAGTATATAGTATAGTAAATAGTATAGTATATAGTATAGTATATAGTATAGTATATAGTACAGTATATAGTATAGTAAATAGTATAGTGTATAGTATAGTATAGTATATAGTATAGTATATAGTACAGTATATAGTACAGTATATAGTATAGTAAATAGTATAGTATATAATATAGTATATAGTATATAGTATAGTATATAGTATAGTAAATAGTATAGTAAATAGTATAGTGTATAGTATAGTGTATAGTATAGTGTGGTATAGTGTATAGTATAGTGTATAGTATAGTGTATAGTATAGTGTATAGTATAGTGTGTAGTATAGTGTGTAGTATAGTGTGTAGTATAGTATAGTATATAGTATATAGTATATAGTATATAGTATATAGTATATAGTATATAGTGTATAGTGTATAGTGTATAGTGTATAGTGTATAGTGTATAGTGTATAGTGTATAGTGTATAGTGTATAGTGTATAGTGTATAGTGTATAGTGTATAGTGTATAGTATAGGTATTAGTATAGGTATTAGTATTAGCATTAGCATTAGCATTAGTATTAGTATTAGTATTAGTATGAGCATTAGCATTAGTATGAGTATTAGTATTAATATTAGTATAGCATTAGTATTAGCATTAGTATATTAGTATTAGTATTAGTATTAGTATTAGTATAGTATAGTATAGTATAAGCACTAGTATTAGTATAGTATAGTATAGCAAAGCATAGTATAGTATAGTATAGTAATGGTATGGTATGGTATAGTATAGAGTAGAATAGAAGAAAGAAACGAAAAGAATGGAGAAGAAAGAATAGAAGAGAAGACAGAATAAGAGAAGAGGAATAGAGATAGAAGAAAGACAGAAGAAAGAAAAGAAGAAGAAAGAATAGAAAGAAGAATAAGAAGAAGAAGAAGAACAGAAGAGAAAGAATAGAATAGAATAGAGTAAAGTATAATAAAGTGGTGGTTGTAGTTGTAGTTGTCTAGCTATCTATCTGTCTATCTGCAAGCTTGAAAACGCAGCAATTCTGCGAGACTTCCTCATTTTTTGAACTTGACAACGTCAAAACGAAGCAATTTTGCGAGACTTTCTCAATTTTCAAAGTTGACAACATCAAAAACGAAGCAATTCTGCGAGACATCCTTCAAAATGGAAAGTTGCGTGCAGCGCTGACGGCCTCGTACCAATGCGTTTTGCGATTTTTCCAGTCCACCTGTCAAAAGTACTGCGCCTGCCACGAAAAAGTGATGCCAGGTCATACGAAGTGCTGCTGCGCCTGTCACTCAAAATGACCTCAGCAAACCTGAAGATCTCAGGCTCCAAAATGCCCCCTCTCAGGAAATCAGCGCCCGGACCTCCTAACAGCTCTGATGAACATGTCTCTTGTGCTGCCCCTGCCACGGAAAATGCATCTTTGCGATCCCCTTCAAATGTCCCACGCCTGCCAACGTCTTTTGGAGATGCTACAAAACCCTTACGTTTTTCTCACTTTTGGCAAAGTGCAGAATCCCTTGCGCCTGCCGCGCAAAACCACTTACAAGTGGTCCGAGCATGTGGTGCTTTTAACATTTTGGCTTGGAAATGTGCTTCGCGCCACAACGGCGTGCACTTTTTTGCCAGCTCAACTTCCAAAAGTGCTCCTAGCATCGTACATTTTCACTTCGAAATGTGCTTCGCGCCACAACGGCGTGCAATTTTTCATCTCTCATCTGGCCAGATGGCTCCGCACCCGCCGCTTTAGCGAGCCTACTTTTCGACCCTCCTGAGCCCCAAAACATTGGAAAAACACAGCGCATCGCGACTTTTCTAGCTTTTTGCGCACCTGCATCTTCTTTCCTCTGGCTCTTTCTCTTCTCTGATCTTCTCTCTTCTTCTCTTCTCTTCTCTGACTCTTCCCACCTCTGCTTTTCCATATTGTCGGAAGTCTGACTTCTAAACTTCCTTCGGCAATAGAAATGGGGTGAAAGAAATGTTAAAACTGCTGGGGTTTGTCCTGCTTTGCCATGGGACAAGCCGATGCTGGGAAGCGCAGATTCGCTGTGTTGCGCTTCACGTTGCGCTTTGCGTTGCTCTTCGCGTCGCCGTCGGGGTTCTCACGTTCTCACATAGGTAGGCCACTGTCTGAGAAGATAAGCCTTGGGATGGCTGGAGATTGAACATCACCCAACTATCCGAAAATGCTGAAATCAGCCATGTGAAGATCAAGTTTGAAATCTCAAAATGTGACATTCACCAACCCCTGGGAATAGCCTGACCAGATATAACCCTCCAAAATCTGGTAAACACAAGAATCATGACATGTGCGCAACACAATGTGAACTCATGTCCTTGGTGTGCCTGAGAAGGAGCACACCCCTAAAATCGCAAGTTGATAGGTGATATGTGTATGAACCAGACTTTATTTGGTCAATTTTCGGACAGGCCCATACACATGTTATATATAGATATACCTATACGCATTATATGTGTGTAAATAAATATATTTATATATATATATACACATAAATATATATATATATGCATGCATGCATGCATGCATGCATGGATGGATGGATGGATGTCTGTCTGTATCTATGTATCTATGTATCTATGTATCTATGTATCTATGTACCTATGTACCTATGTACCTATGTACCTATGTACCTATGTACCTATGTACCTATGTACCTATGTACCTATGTACCTATGTACCTATGTACCTATGTACCTATGTACCTATGTACCTATGTACCTATGTACCCATGTACCTATGTACCTATGTACCTATGTACCTATGTACCTATGTACCTATGTACCTATGTACCTATGTATGTATGTATGTATGTATGTATGTATGTATGTATGTATGTATGTATGTATGTATGTATGTATGTATGTATGTATGTATGTATGTATGTATGTATGTATGTATGTATTATGTATGTATGTATGTATGTATGTATGTATGTATGTATGTATGTATGTATGTATGTATGTATGTATGTATGTATGTATGTATGTAGGTATGTACGTATATTGAATTATATAATATACATATCAATATAGATATGTATCACATCAGCAGATCGCGATGCCGCGACACATTCAGCATTTTCCGAAGGTCTGCCGAGAGCTCATCGTACTTCTCTTGTCGCAAAATGGCCTTGGCATCCGTCAAGGTCAAGTCACAGCCGGAGGAACAGCTGATGTTTGGAGATGTTTTGCGCCATTTTTGAACTGGGATCTTATGAGAACCAAATGGAACTGGGATGATCGAAACCATGTTTTAATCCATTGATAATGTGGAACTATGTTGAACTATGTTGATCTTAGAACCGCTCCTCAAACAACTCCAAGCTGCTACCGTGCTGGCGTCTGTGGCAATCAGCGTTCCAGGATGAGCCTCAGCTGCCGCTGTCTTCGGCTGTGTCTTTCGTCCCATGCTTCGCTAAGTCGCGGCTAAGACACGGTTGCTGCCAAAAAGGCCCTGACAGCGCCGGTCATCGGTCGACCCAAGTGATTCCCAACTGATTCCCCTGTATCTATATTATATACATGTATATATATATATATATGGTTTCATATATCTGTTGGTGGACTCGTGTGTATACTTCTATAAGTTTCAACCATCCCCCATCAACCCAAGCACATGAAATATCTCAACGTTTTTCATCGCCATCCGATCGATTCCATCACCATTGCCATCCCAGATCCAGGCCCCAATAAGTTGATCCACGTCCATTGAGTTCATTAACCACTTGAATCATATGTGTAAAATAGTTCCACACATTCTCATTCAACTTCTTCGTAGTGCAAAATAGTGTAAAATGTCTGTGCGTTTTTTCCCTATCGTCACCTGAGAGTGAAACAAAAGCCCGGGCTCCTGGTGGGATTTTTGGCGCCCTTTTTTGGATACCTTGCCCTTGGCCACAAAAAAGGGCCGCCAAGGGCCCAACATGGCCCAACACACAGGGTCTCAGTTTCCAGTGGACGCACTCCCCAAGTCCCGCTCTGGCCGACAAGGACCATCAACCCATCCCATATTCCAAAAACATCAACCAAAAAATGTTTGTAGTCATATTCGATTTTTCATTGCTCGATTTTGATCTTGAAACCATTTCAAATCCTGTATCTTCAGTGATTCTTTTCACATGTTAGTTTGATTCATGAAAGTGGTTCATGCTGAGTTCCCATTCGGTCCGCATCCAATGGTCCGCCTCATGGTGCTGAAGGGTCCAGCGCACCAGGAGCCCGTCGTCTCGCTGATGCGCGCCTTTTCGAAGGGCAAACCCGGCTGCAGCCGATGCAAATCTTGGAAGGCGCGCACCGCCTGCTCCGTTTCGCAGTGGGGGTTCCAGATGTGATCCACCTGGCCACAGTTCTGACAAAGGGAGAAATCTAAGATGGTTTCAACATGTTTCAACGTATATATCTTACCTTCAGACCGTAGTTTCCTTGCATACATACATTTGCTTATGGGAGTCCAACGACACCATATTTTTGCCGGGGTTTCCAGGAAAAAAACAAGTCAAAAGACTTCCTAAGAGGTTGAGGTTTAAGCATCAACCAAAGGGGGTTGAGTGATTTGGCAAAATGGGATTGTAATATGTAGTTCCGCCGCAGGTCAATTGCCACATCCCAAGCCCTGCAAATATTCGGGTATACGGTATGCCTCAAAATTGGGTCACCAGTGGACCAACAAAATAGTAGCTTGTCTTTAAGATCTGTAACTTCTGCTTCCAATTTTGGTGGGTATCATCCTTTTGATGGTTCAATTGGATCATCAAAATTGGATCACCATCATTAAGCATTCACCATCATTAACCATCATTAACCATCATTAACCACCATTAACCACCCATTTGATGTTGTTTCACCATGTTTCACCCACTTGCTGAGTCTCCGGACCCCCCCCTGCAAGAGCCAAACCAAAGGCACTCGGCCTTCAGCTGCCTGCCATGGAGATGTCGCCATAGAAATTGGGTGCGAAACACCTCATTTCGCCATACAAAAGGTATATCACATGGAGGACTTGGACTACACTTCGGTCATCTTTTGGATACAACAAATACAACAAAAGACATGGGGATTTTGTGGTGTGATTCCGTTGAATGCGATGTCCATCCATAGATTCACCGATTTTGCTGGGGAATTTGTCCTGCCTCAGTCATCCAGGCGCCGCTCTGAAGGCATCGGAAGTTGGGGGCTCGGTAGACCACTTCCTTCTGCCTGAGCTGGGATGATGGGATGGTTGTGTTGGGGATGCAACCAGGGATGGGCCGAAGGAAGATTTGCTGGAAGATTTGCTGGAAGATACAGGAAGTATGGAAAAATGGTGGATAGATGTGGATAGGAACTAATGATACTTTGATACTTGGACTGAATGAACTGAAGCAACTAGAGGTGGTCAGTGGTGAAGAGTACTTGAAGAATACGGGTCAAGTGGAAATCCTCATCATCCCAAACACGTCCTCCAAAATGCAATAAAGATATCAATCCAGCCACCAGTTCTGGTTGGTTGCTCTCATTTTCAATGACCCTTAACCCCCTTCATATGTATATATGTATCTATTATATATATATATGTACATCTATGTGTCTATGTATATAAATTGAAATAGGTTTGTTGGTTGATTTCTAGCACCCATGTTGCCACAACAAAGTCACCTCATCAAGTCACTGCAGTTTTCGGATTTCCAAATAGTCTTCCAGCTGCGCCAAGAGCTGTGGGTTGTAGCTGGGAAAGTAACTGTCCAGCCACACCTGAGAGAATCGGCTGGATGACCAGTGGATGTTCACCTGGTGAAGGATGCCCAGAATGCCCAGAATGCCCAGAATGCCCAGAATGGCGATAGAGATGGAGTTGAACACCAAAAATCATCAAAAATCAAGGTGGGTTGCGGCAAGGGATAGGCTTTCAGGAGAAGGGAACTAGGGAACCCTAAGAACTTGGCATCTTTTGCTTCAAAAAACTTCAATGATGGCCTTGCATCCTTTTTTGGCAAGGAGCATGGAAATCAAGCCATACACCGAAGAGAGGCGAGGACGGATTCACCCAGCGCGACAATGTCGACCTCCGCACAAAATCAACACACCTCCACATGGTTCATCAGTGTTGATCACTTAAAAGACTTACAGTTCCATTCCCAGGCGTTTTACCAACAAATCCAACAAGTTTCCAAAAAAAGTTGCGCCTGATGCCAAAATGTGTGTGGCCCCGGCAGTGCCCCGGCGCAGGTTGGTACTTCCTCAAGAAAGCATCCTCGACCATCTCCAGAGCCTCTGAGACATCTGAGACATGGTGAAAATGGAGGAATTGCAGGTGAAAATGGGGAAATTTTCTGTAGTTTTTTTTCGTATCGCTGATACGAGTAATTCTCCATGGTTCCAACCTTGAATCTAGCTCCATACATACAATATGGATTTGTTTTAATTAGGGTGCCGCGTATCACCACTGGGGACGCCACATTTAGAATGACCCCTTAAAAATAAACAACATGGGATTCACCATGAACTAGGAAACCCAAATATGTTGAACGGTTGAGGGCATCTTTTCTGTTGATGTTTTTCGCACAGATCCAAGATGCTAAGGGCGGCTGTTGATCTACCAAAGCCTTCCACTTTTTGTTGGGACGTGTTTGTGGGCCAGAAAATGGGGGATCCAGAAGCACCCGAAATTTTGGGGTAAATGATCTTCAATGGTGAAGAAATTCGCCGGTTGATGGAGAAGGATGGTTGGGGATGCTTGGTGGTCCCCTTTGCCCATGGGAAACTGATGGTAAGTTGGGGATAGTTGGGGTAGCCACCTGTTCCGATCCAAAGGCTATACCAAGGTGATCCAAAGTCCACATTCACCGCAGTATCAATATTATTTGAAAATAACTGAAACATTCACATTCTTCACATTCACATCATTTCACATACATTCCGCTTCAAAAAATCCTTCAGCCATGTTTCAACCTTTATGAATATGAGCTGGTCACAGTCATACCGTTCTTCCAACCGAACCCTGCAGCCAGGTGGCATGTTCCAAGGTATTAGCCACCAATAGGGCTGAAGCATCTTTGGGGATCTGGCGGAATTTGGCTGTTCTGTTGATCCTTGTTTAGGATCCACAGATGTTTCTATGATATCAATGATATATATATATATATAATTGGCCCTTATTATGTTTGGTCTCTTTTGGCGGCGTCGGCATCCAAAAATAAATAGGCTCCTTTTGGGTGGATTTTGCATATGGCAACTTCATACAAGAGCAGATCCCATGTAAGGGCAAGGATGTTCAATGAAATCATTGGGCTAAGCTAGAGTTAAGCTTGAATTTCAGAGTCAAGTTGCTGAGAGGCAACATGCCACTTCGTTCATCTTCACTCTGCCCTCCCATGGATTCCGCACAATTGCAACACAGTCAAGGCTGCCAGGGGTGGATCATGTTCATCTTTCAAGATCTTCAAGTCTGCAAGTGCTTAGTCTGGGCAAGTTCAGAATATGTTTAAACAAGAAAGTCGCGCCAATTTTCGAATGATTCCCATATACCATATACATCCATATACCACTTGCTCGACCAGGTACAGACTTTATCCGAACCTTGTCGCGAAGGTCGAAGAGCGGCAACCCAAAGTTTTGCATCTGCAGAAGGACACTGGGATCCGGTCGGGCCAAAATCAGCGAACAACCCATTTCGTTGGCCACGCTCCTCGGGGGGCTATCACCGATATGTGGAGAGGTTATCCACCATGGAACATTGTGGTGGGAAAATGGTATCCCGATGTATCCCGCTATTTTGTTGGCAACCCTGCTTTTGGGGTTGTGAACTCATCAAAACCGCTTGAATCCTTGGGTCAAAACATATCCCATTCCCAGAACTGGTGTTTCAAGCAAAAACAATGCCGTGCCCAGTGGCAACACCATCCGCGTTTGTGCACTTCGTCAGAAAGTGTACCCATGTGTACCCTGAATCTCTGTTGATTATCTCAGTGAAAGTCCTAATTCTCCAGGTATTTCCCACGTTTTTGGACAACCCCCGGGGTAAAAAATCCATCGTTTTCCGAGGCGCAGGACCTCTTGAAAAGCACTTACTGCCTCAGGATTCATCGGCTCCATGGACAAATTGGGGCATTGGATTTCACCAAAATGTCCATAGTTTCCACATGTTTCTACCATCCCCAAAAAAAAAATTGGAAGCCACTTTTTCCGAAACCAAGTGACAGTGGATTCCATTTGTCTCACCAGGTCCAGGTCTAGAACGATGTACTCCGGGTGCGCTCGAATTTCACAGCTGACTGCATGACTGAAGGAAAACTCCGGCAGATCCGAATTATCAACTCCAGGCACTCCAGGCTGTCGGTAGGAGATGTGTGGCCTCAGCCCAACTCAGATCGTGTTCTGGTGATAGATTTTTTGAACATGGCAATTGGAAATCCCATGAAATCCCCATTTTTGAATGGGGCAATAATCGAAACTTATCTATAAATGGTGGATGTCCATTCAAATGTTACAGAAAAGAAAAAAACGTGTAGCCATTGTTGAAAAAAAACAGCATCATCCTTCCAAAAGTTAATCGAGAGGATACCCCAAATCACAAGTTTCATGTGGAAAATGAGTGAAAAATATATATGTTTTGAACCACTGGATTTTGTTGTATTCCCAACATGTTTGAACAAAGCTTTAAAAAAAAAAGGCCGGTTTTCCTTTATTTTTTTCCATTCCCAGAATAAACTCAATGCAAATCAGATGAACCACCAAGCCATAGCATGGTTGGTGAAATCCCCACATGTTCGCCCTTTTTTTAACCAGAACCTATTTATTGCTGGATACATCTCCATCTTTCATGCTTAAAATCATGCTTAACGCCCTGTTTGTTCATGATTTCATGAGCAAAAATCTCATTTTTCATGACTATATCAATTATATCACCATGTTTCAATGGCTAAACCCCTATTCTTTATGGTTATATCATATATATTCATATATCATTATATAATATCAACATATATTATAATTCATATATCAAGTGTGTGCTACCCAAATCCTTACGGTTTGAGGCTTTTTTGGGGCCACCTGGGTCCCACCTGGGTCCCACCCGCTTTCGAACCGCGCGGCTGACAGCTGAACTGCTCCAGTGCTTGGACGATCTGCCGCATCGAGGCGAAGTAGAGATAGGCAGTGCCCAAGCGCCAGACCTCTGCCTAGGTGCTCGCACGGGGTGGAATGGTCGGTTAGCTAGCGGCTAATTAAAGTTAATTAAAGTTAATTAATGTTAGCATGATATATCTCATGATATATATATATATATCATGATATATGCATGATATAATGTTAACTAGTGTTAATTGATGTTAGTTGATGATCAATGATAATCATGCGAGTTCTTGAAGGTGGTGAAGATAGGACAAAAGAACTTGGGTGCCCAAAAAAAAATGTAAGCTCTAGATGGGTAGATCTTCCATTTTCATCACTGAGTCACTAGCTGCAAAGAATCGCTGTTTCTTGTCGGGTATCATATGTACCAATTGGAAAAAATGAAACCATGAAACCATCAAGCCAAGGTTTACCCAGGATAGCAGCTGAAAACCACTGAAATTTGGTCCCCAGCAAATGCCAGAGCTTTGGCACTTCTTGAAAAACAACATGTTGAGGCTGTTGAAAACCTTCAGCAACTTAATCAAATGATCAGCACACATCAATCACATTATCACCTCAGCTGACGTACCTGTTTGGAACAAAAGGTGCCATTTTCAGGATCTACAACCATCCAATGTCGGAAAGTCATGGAACCCCGAAAAGGATTTGAAAGTCATCCCCACATCCCACTGTCAGCGACGCGTGAACTATGGCAAGGATGAGGATATCATTTTTATCTGGATAGTCTTCAAATAGCAACAAGATGCAACAAGTACTAACATTAAATAGTACTAACCATAGCATATCTGGATAGTACTAACATTAAAATGCCCAACCAAATCCGTCACAAATCCGTCACCTTTAGTCTCGACTCATCCAACTTTCGTAACTGAAAAATTCTACCCCATGATCTGCCAAGAAAAAAACGATATTCGATCATCCACAATCAACAATAAATATATTAAATATATTCAACAATCAGTTAAAAAACACGCAAGCATCACCAGATTTATCACCATATCTTCTCTCCATTTCTCTCCATATCAGCCAAAGGACTTGTGACCCCACCCGGTTGAGGTATTCCCGGTCGCAGGTGGTGTGCAGCCGCGGGCTGCGTAGTTTGCCCAAGCCGTCCAGGGTCTGTCGCGCGGCGATCACCGGCAGTGTGGCCAGTTGCGCTTGGACGATGCCGGCCACGGAGATGAAGCCAAAAAGCATCATGGGAGCGGTGCCCAAGATCACATACCTCAACTGTAAAACGGTTCTGTGTCTAACTGTAATAAATGTCTAATGTGGATGTTTAGGGATGACTTTCCCATGGGGAAACCAAAAAAAAGCGACAGGATTGAATCAGTGACAGGAAAACACAAGTTTGTCTCTTCAATGGATATCAAGATATCGAGAGATATCGGAGAGATATCATCAGATATCGGATATCGCAGCCGAGGCACATGAGAATCATGACCCAAACCAGGCAGTACTCATAGGCTCTGAGGAAGCGCAATGAGTTCCAGACCCAGAAAGCCATGAGTTCAGCACTGAGCCACACCAGTACAGAGCCAGGCAGCAGCTTCGGCAGAACCGCTACCACGTAGTCCCCAAAAACAAAGACGAGGCTGGAAAAAACCAAGAGCAAAATCTGAAACTGTTCACCATCTGCACCTGGCATCAAGTCATGCCAAGTCATGTTTTCAGAAAAATCATCTGTATCGCATTGTATCGCTATATACGTATTAAATCATATACATGACATCGCTCCCTTTTAATATCATAAGTCACGAATCATGTATCATATGTTTAGCAAAAATGCGGCAGACCCCACCTAGGGTCCTGCAGGTAATGCTGAAGGACATCACCATGTTGGCGCTGAGTCCAGATAACATGCCACTGCCCATGTTGTAAACACCATGGAGCATCATTTCTTGGTCAATGTCCACTCGAATCTTTGTGGAGGATGCAGTGCCAAATCTCAGTTTTTCCGGGCAAAATGATGATCCACTGGGAAAATCCCGAGATCTGGTGGTTTATGATCCATTGTGGTGCAGTTGGCTTACGGGCAGCCCCCTCTTTCTCCGCGGTTGGCATTGGGGGATCGAGACTAGGCCAATCTAGGATGATATCCCAGGCTTTTGTCTAAAATTGGAGGGGACCCAAGATATCGCGATGTAAAAAATTACAACATGATTACATGATCAACATGGGAACGATGAATTCTTGAACCACTGATGGTTTTTCCATGGTTTTTCCATGGTTTTCCCAACATTTTTGGATACCAATTAGCCACTTTCGGATTGCCGTCAGTGCATCGCAGCAACATATTCATGACAGCCGTCAGTGCAGAGATGCAAGCTGCGTTCACCTGGTTGGGATCCGAAGACCCAAATCACCCATACGCAAAGTCTACATCTGACAGGGATTGAAACACACTGAGATGAAATTTCTGTTCGAAATTCCAGCAATAGACACCAGGTGATTCAAAATATTTACTCAAATGTTTCGAGTCTGAGTTTCTATCGACATGCTCTGGATTCAAATAATTCAAGCAAGCGACAACGGTCAGCCAGAACGTTGGACACACAAATTCTTGCCAATCCACCGGTTCCGACTCAAAGTGTTGCGTCCAGATGCGGTAGAAAACAGGATGTTGCGGCATCTGCACCTGTCAGAGATCAAACAGAAACCTCACGCCAGCAAATAAACATAAATTTAAACCGCGAAAAAACGACGTGAAGCCTTGCACAAACTCCGGAACAAGATGTAAAATCTGGAAGCCTTGAAGCGCTACCACGTTTGGTGCACGTCCAATTGTCAAATTGACATCCGGGTAAAAGCATGTGGCATGTGGGTTGATGAAGACTTCCAGCCTTCCTGTAAACCAGCGGGTAAAAACCCAACCCTTTTACTATCAAAGAACAAGAATCAACCGGGCACTTCCTCGTGACTTTGATTTAGATCCAAATCAACAACATGTTTCATATTGTTCCATTATCAATAAAATTTCATATAACCACAGTCACCTTTTTTTCGTTGACCGTTGAAAACCCAAGAATTGTTTCGCCCTGTCAGAAACTCGCAGCACCGGAAACAGCAGGCCATCCTTTCGGGCATCTTCCAGACTGGAGCCCCTGATGAGCCTCGGGCGGCTACGCCACGTAGCAGGTGAAAACTATAGGCTACTCATCGGTTGAACACGGTCGAACCATGAAAACACACTATGAAAAATGTTGGTTTCGAAATGAAAGCGGTAAACTACCTGGTTTTGCCCTCCCCATTAGTCCCCTGCAAGTTCAACACGGAGCCCTGAAATTAACTGGGTGGAGAAATTCAACAAGGAGACACCATCTATGTAGACACGTTTGGCAGGAACACATGTGGAAACAAGGCGATAGTGACTTGCAAAGAAACATTGGCAAACATAGTCAACCCAAAAATGGTTGCATCTTCGCTTTTCGAGCCCTGGCGCGCAATCATTTCGCAGTATTCTCCTTGGGCCCCTTCATGTTGTTTAATGTTTGAAAGATTTGCCGAGATGGTTTCACAGTTGGGGCTGGTCATTCGAAATTGTAAACCATCCATTTTCGTCCACTCGGTTTCAACTTGATCCGAGGTTTGATTTCAGCATCATTTCATGTATTTTTTATGCTGTCAGAAGCCTGGCCCTGGATTTACAATCTGGTAACTGGGATATGGAAGAGATTTACATGTTTCTAAATTATTTTTAAAAAAAAAATGTTGATAATTATGAAAATAAAAGCCATAATAGTAAATAACAATAATAATAATAAATGCCTTATTATTAACACTAAAACATTGTGATACTAATAACTAAACCAAAAATTGAAATTCAGTTGAGATAGAAATGAAATGCATGAAACAGGACGCGGTCCACTGCCAGGAAGCATCCAGAGAAAGAAAACGCCAGCCTGGATGGGCAAAGCATGCAGCATGGTGCAGCATGGTGCAGCATCCTTCAACTGACAGTTCCAACAAATGCTTGGTCCACAAGCAATGGAGCCATTGCCCAATCTGAGTTGTCAGGTGGCTGATGCTGATTCCCAAATCATCGTTTACACATGTTTACACTAATCCCAATTCAACCAGAGAGCATGATACCTCTCCTAGCCCTGGAGCTAGCGCCTCTGCCAACAGGACGCAGGGAATCAAAAGATCCTGCAGCAAAGAACTCAGCCATTCTTCCCCCATCACCCTCACGAAATGTCTTAAAAAGAAGAAAGATTTGATAACATTTATATTTTTGGGATCTTTTCACAAGTAACTTCAATCAACTTTGGCATCCAATTCCTTCAGCCTTTCACCACCATCCCAAGCACGACATTTCTCCTGCGCGATGTAGGGCAGCTTCACATTCCGTGCGCGCAGGGTAAACATCCCGAGGCCCGCGATGCTGCCAGGAAGCCATTCATGTAAACATTTCAGCTCCAAAAGACAACTGTAACTGCCCAACTCCACCAAACCTGGGATTTGTCCAAAAGGATAGTGAGAGATTTGGAACTTTTGGTGGTCAATTCGTTGTTATTTCATAGCAAAAATAAACTTGTGATTCATGGATGCTATAAAAGTCAGACCTTTTTGGGCATGGTTAACGTGCTTTTGATCGGTCTTGATATGTTTTCATGTTTCCAACTCGTTTGATGGGAATACATCAGGGATGTTTTTTTCTTGGGGCATTGCCCAACCTGCCTGGAGGGATCATTGCAACTTGGTGATCTTAAAACATGTTCGCTGCAAAGCCTACGTTTGACCGTGCTGGAAGTCAACTGAACGTGACATGATAACGATCGTCCTCATGATCATGAACATCACCACCACCACCATCATCATCATCATCACCACCACCACCACCATCATCATCATCATCATCATATCATGAAGATGAGCGGGAGCTCAAAAACCAGTCAACAAAGGGGGCGGGGGATTCAACTGATTCAACATAGTTGTTCAGAGGTGGGGGATTTCATCCCTTATGAAGATTAGATTCCCCTAGTAGAAAGCGTCCTTGTTAAACTTATGTCTCAGTTGGGTATCTCCTTACTTGTGTCGCCAGAGAGTAGCGAGCAGGCTGTCACGAGGGATGCACACTCTCGGGCAGAAAGACCGTCTTGCACCCACCACCCAACAGAGTCTGGCAGTCTACCCGGCTGCCTATTTTGAGCCATCCTTCTCTGCATGACTCATGTACAATGTACTTGACCATTCGTCTTTGTTGAACGTGTGTGTTTGGAGGGTGTAGATCATGTTTGATCTAGATAGTAGAGGAGAGATCTTGGGGGTTATGGTCTAACGTGGGTTTGGCGCCAACATGTTAAAACCACAAGCGATATCAACACACACCTGTGAAATCCAGTCAAAATGCAGATGGTGAGTGGCATCCGTCACAAACCAGCTGTTTTTCATTTGAAGACACCGCAGGGTATTGATCCATAGCCACACGATCCAAGGGATAGTGTAAACCTGGAAACAATCTCAATATTATACAACATTATTATGTGTTTCATCACCTTTATCATACTCAGCAGTGTTCATGGTGGCAGTTGCAACCGATAGCAATGTAGCCTAGCCACTGACAAAGCCTGGAGTCATCAGGTTCAAGGCATATTGCAGCAGGACCTCAACATCCAAACGCTCAACTCAGCAACTTGGTGTCCACGATGTGTATCCGGTTAAGGTGTAACCGGTACACCCCACTTGTTATATCTGTTACAGGGATTAAACTGTTATAAACTGATAAAGTTGAGTAAAGTGGGTAAACTCCAGCTATGGCTCACCGCCTGCGAGTAAAGTGGGACGGATAAAGTTTTTTCGGCTGAGCATCCCGACGGCTCCAGTGCCAGCCATAAATCCACCGTAGATCACAAAGGGACAAGCCTTTACCAGTCGAGCCAAACGCAGATATCCCACCAGCCACATGCAGCTGCCGATCAGCACCGTGCAAATGGCCGCCTGAGAGTGGCTTGCCTGTGAAACAAGTGAAATCTGTTGGAGGGTTATGGCATTCAAGAATGAAGACCCCAAAATCATCCAAAATCAAAGAACCTATGAGTTCATATGAGTTCAAGAATTTATTGAACGGAATTTCACCATTTTTTCCATTGATGATTTTATAGGCACTTGGAAATACCTTGGAAATACCTTGGGCAACTGCCACCGATCAACAAGATCAACAAGGGCCCACAACCAAGACACCATGGTGTAGATGGTGTTGCATTTTGAAGGGCCCAGCGTCTTGAAATACTCTGCCATAATGATCACGGTCGGAATGCCTTGGGCACAGAAGTGGTGTATTGTCATCTCTCCTCATGATGATTCCATGTGTCAGACTCATAGAATCTAAATAGTGAAATAGATATACATGATGATATACATCTATATATATGTAGATTTATGTGATATAATCACCTTATAATCACCTTATCAGAACTTTTATACAACAAATCTTTAACAAAAATCGAAAAAAAAAACGAGCTGCTGGCGCCGGCCACCCCGAACTTGATCTCAGAGCCGATGAGGCTCCCAGCATTGGCAACCTGGGGTAGGACATGTGGGGATGGGTCAAAACCCTGGTACCCCTGGTGAACCCAAAATTGCTGGTAAATGGATGTTCATCCCACTAAAAATGGTATTAATAGGTATTGACCCATACCCATGTAATGGCAGATTTGGGACAGAATGGAGGTGTTCAATTTTAGAGGGATGAATTGCATTATTTCTGTAATTATTGGTGTAAATCCACCACCAAAATGCCAAAGGATGGGGCTGATAAAAAACAAGTGAACCACAAATGCACTGGCTGAACCTAGGTATCTGCGATCCAATTCTCAAGAATGAACCCCTTGTGGCGAACTGATGATGGAATCCCAGGATGCCACCCCGAGTCATGCTTAATGCTGAACCACTCACCGGTTGAAGATTGAAAAATGAAAGAACACAACAGTCTGGCACAATGGCTATGGCTCTAGATCCAAACAATAATATCCAAATAATCAGCCGGCTGTTCATAGAAGTTCATCCTCATCTATAGGTCAGTTGAGGTGTTAGGTCGAGCTGAAAGTCAAGAAGCCAGAGTCGTGAGCAGACCGATGGACATGCCCAGCGCCTGATAATCGTGATTCCTTGGACGGTTCAGATCCACTGCCACACTTCGGGGGCAACTAGCTGACTAGCTATGAACCAAGCATTGTTGCCAGATGTTGCCAGATGTTGCCGTTGCCAGGAATCGGACATCGAACGAATCTAAGGGAGACTCAGGAGACAATTTCCGAAATGGCCGCAAAACGATGAAGATTCCGTGGCCCTGAGTGGAAAGTTGGTTTAATCATTGCTGCCATTTGTTCCATTGCTTAGTCCCCAGGCCCTGCTGTTTGCCGCGCCAAGCCACGGAAAATTGAGAGATGAAGGAAACAGGAGGCCACCTCCAGCTGATTTCAACATTAATTTCGCTTCAGCTCAGCAACAGAGGGCTAAGCATAGGGTATCATCAACAGAGGTGAACCATAGGATACCCCAAAATCCAAAATCTTATGGTTACTCATCCTATATTCATCCTATTAATCCCAATTTGTTGATGGCCAAACCCAAAGTGGCACGTTACGGCGTCTGCCATTGGATCCAGCGATCCCGTACCTAGGGACAAGCCGTCTGTGGCTCCCATGAAGCAGGCCACCAGTGCGGCAAACCTTAGCGGCTGAGCTGTGAAACATATATATATATACACATATATATATATATGCATATATTATATTCTATGGATATAAAGTGAAACTGGCTGTTTTCTTTTCCGCATCATTCTCCATGCAAAGAAGGTCTTAGTTTTGTTTGCATGTGACGGAAGGATCCATCCGCAAAAATCACTTGCCCAGAGAATAACGCTCTGTACAGATCAACCAGGATGTTGATGACGTCTGATCAAAGACAATGCCACTGATCATCCCCATTGAATCCGCAAGAGTTATGTAACCCTTAACAAAAACTCTCAAATCAGGGGTACTAATAACCATTCCCCGACAAAAGAATCGCCAAGAATCTGTGAGATATGATGTGTCATACCCTCTGGTAATTTAACATAGCTATAGAAAATTGCCATTTATAGTGAGTTTTCCCATTAAAAATAGTGATTTTCCATAGCTATGTTAAATTACCAGTGGGTAATGTGTCATCTCACCACAATTTTCTGACCATTTTCCCAAAAGAACTTCCCGCAGCATCCTCAGTGTGGTCCAAGGCGCACGTTGCGCAGCAGCCGTGCACGGCCCAGGAGTGCCTCTGGAGCCTCCGCTTGACCTGGTGATGCCAACGAAATTTCTTGGAGATGTTGGATAATATGTATACAGCATAATAACATATAGATAATTATAGATACATATTGAAATACATACACATATATTTGCCACCTTCAACCTCCACAAACACAACAAAGATCATGCTGCAACTTGTCAAATAGTTCTATTTTCTTCAGCCAACTGAGACTCCAACATGCTTCGACCACCAAAGTGTCCGCGTGCAACGCACGGACTTGGGACGTGCGTTCAGCGTGCTGTTTTCCATCGCTTGTCTCCAGCAGTGGAAGCGACAACGACTTTGCCGACCTGGGGAAACTCAGCGTTCATCAGGACGTTTCAAGTGACAGGGCCGGTATTTTACGGTGGGGGCAAAAAGCTGCCATTGAATCAACAAAAATGAAGAATGGATCAAGAGAATGAAGAGTGGGTAAAGAGTGACTCATCAAAATCAGGGATTCAATTATCAAAATAAAGACCATTTACCACCGAAAATGTTGCCAGAGCTATCAGCTTGTCATCCCTTCGGAATATCAAATGCACCCCAAAACGAAACCCTGATTCAGTACTGGACCTATTATTGGGTGCATTTGACGAATTTCAGAGAATTACATCATTGTCTTTTTTGGAGTAATATTTAGATAATTATCAAATTAGATGTCAGGGAATGACATAATCCAATTAAATTTCTGGAAACTTCCATAGTTTTAGGATTATCCAATTTTTCTTGGCTAATCTCTTGGTTTTTCATAGCGCACCTGAAGTGGAGCTGTCTTCTCCGCGGCAGGTTGGGCGACACCAAGGTGGAAACATCCCAGGTCTTGCAAGGCTCCATGGCGCTCCATTGTCATGGGGATGCCCTGTGAAGCCCTACTGGCCCTACTGCGGTAGGTTTGGGATGAGAGATGAACCCGGTTCATGGTCAAAAAAAGGAGAATTGTCCTAAGTCCCAATGCATCCAAGTGCATCATGACTCACCGTGATCAATATGATCAATGATTTGGGTGGATTGATCGTGATTCATCGATGGGAAGTCCTCAGCAGGAGGTTGGTGACTATGGTGAATTGGGCACCAAACAAGATCTGGCCCTTCAAACTGCCGTGTCCGTCGTGTCCGTCGTGTTGGACAGGAAAAGCTGGCGACTGGCGACTCCGAGTCCAAGCGATCTCCAATACCCGCACTGTTGACTGAGGACATATACCTGATCCATCCTGAACCAGTGTTGTTCCCATTGTTGTTTAAGTGGTAGGTTGGTGGGTCCCTTTCAATCAAAGTTTTGATCAATTTGTTTCCAGGGGGTTCTTCTCTTCTGCGGTCCATACTAGGGACCCTGACATTCTTCCAGCATTGCAGGACGCGGCGTAAAATTTTGGAATGGGCCTCGAAAAAGTGAGGACGTACGAGGACGTGGGGAAATTGGGAGATTGCCTCCCCCAGAAAATTCGAAAAAGTGTTTTTCAATGGTGGATCTCCAGAATTCCAGATAAAATGGGTATGAATCGCCCAGGAATCTCCTATATTTCACAGCACATTTTCAGCCAAATCATCCAAAATACTTGGTGGCTGATGATGTTTTCGTCATGGTCCCTGTCCCATCCCCTCTTGATCTGCCAGGTTGCTGCGGCTTGGCTGCACCTCCAAGAAATGCAGGTGCTGAAGGCGAATTATGTGTAAGCTGATACATGTATGATATGTATTTTTAGATACATAACATAATATAACATAATCTGATAATATGATAATATGTATATAATATATGCGTTTATTCACCGTCCTTACTGATTTGCTTATTCAGAAGAGAATGTTTGGCAGCGGCACACGCATCTCCAAATCAGATTCATCCCTCAAAATACAGTAGCCACCGAAGATATGAAAGTTTCCCTCCTCTGTCGAACATCCTTCGCATCCTCAATCTTCAGCGCAGCTTGCGAAGTACATTTGCCTGCAACTCTTGATAGCTGAATAGTTGCATTCAGGTTGCATGAATTTCCCCAGAGGCTTAGCACAGATTTGATCCATGTTACACTTTGCCAATATTTAATGCTCCAAGCAAGCCAAAAACGGCCAACGCAACAGAAATGGCAACAGTTTTTCCATTTTTGGGTCTCAAAGCATTGGTTGAGGGAGAAACCCTACAGGAAGGTCAAAGGCTCACTTAGGACGACTTTTTCACTCACTTAGGACGACATTTTGAGATGTGGACTTCAACCTTAAGGGTTAACTCCATTGGATACAGGCCTTTAGGGTCTGACTTGGGGACACGGGGCTGGGACATGGGGTGGGTTTAGGGGACCAGCATGCTGGATTACATGAGAACATGATCTACAGACATTTAGAGTAACACTTGGGGACACGGGGCTGGAGGTACTGACCTTATAGGAAACACCACGGCTTTTGTTTCCACTATAGAATTCATACCCAGTAAGTAATCTCTTGAAGTCTCTTGACATAGGAAGAATTAGGAATAATTAGGCTTAATTTGGGGCAAAGTATTCCCAACATATTCCAACTGGAAAAGTTTCATCCTGATCTCCTCCAGCTGCGCCTGCATCTGCCCGGCGCTTGGTCCAGCACTGCCAAAGTCGCACTAGGCGCTGCAGACGTCTGCGCCAGCGCCGATCTGTGGTCAACCTGGTCCAAAACATCTGGGCAGTAGAATCCAAACACACCAGGGTAACGTAATATACTCATTGCTGAAAGGGTAACGTAATATACTCATTGCTGAAATTGCTGATTACTACTGATTACTGAAAATCAAACATCTGAACATCTCCAACCACGGAAATCACGGAAAATCGATGCACATTGAATCGCAGGCAGGAATCTTTTGATTTCCTTGTCTCGCTTCCTAGTGAATGATGACATCTACTGACATCTGGCACGAAATCCAGGAAAACCGGATGATTGCTGAGGATCCTTGATCTGTGCTTCACGATTGCATCTGTCATAATTTGTCCATCATCCAATTCATCAGAAGTGACAGCTGGTCTAACGGAGTCTATCCCCTTGGGATTCCACTGGATGTCAAACTGAGACTGCTGAGACTGCGACAAAATGCGCAACGCACAGGACCAAACTCTCAGCACACGGCGTCTTTGGAGTTGGTTCCTGTTCTCCCAGACAGGTGAAATGCACCAAATGCACCATACCCTGCCCTCAGGTAATCCAAAATTGTTTGAGACATGTATTTTGCTAGTGGTAAAATGAACACCTGTCCATTGCCAGCTTGGATTATTTGGATTGCCCGAGCTGAAATTCATCCATGTTCTGTTCCCACTTCTGCTTCATCTTTGGGGGGAACATGTCTGTAATGTCTGTATACCTTGGATCCTATTGTTCCATATTGTTCCATCATTTCCAAAGTGTTTCCCATATTTTTCCCCCATTTTTCATCTTTTTCATCTTTTCCATCCCTTCTCTGGACGCGCCTCACACATTGCGTCTCCCGTGTCCGCGCCAAAACATCATCGCTCAGACACGGAAGGGGAGGAGTGTCCAGCCAGGCCATGGCAGCGATGTGGATAGACTGGATAGATCATATGGCAGTGGGTCAAAACCTTGTACCCCTGGTGAACATCAAAATAGCTGGTAAATGGATGTTCATCCCTCTAAGAATGGTATTAATAGGTATTGATTCATAGCCATATAGGATGAATATACATAGTACTACGTAGTTACCCAAGCGGTTGTGTAAATAAGTTGTAACTGAAAAATACTAAAAATGTGTTTGTCAGTACTGTAAGATTGATGTAGATGACTATAAATGACTATAAATGCAAAATAATGCAAATATGTAAATATCAGAACTGCAAGAGGGGCCACAAAAAATATGTCATTGCCAGGAACAGTGCTTCTTTTTTGGCGCTTCCAAAAATCTGGAAACATCTGGAAGTTAAACAAAGCGGTTCCTTGGATGTACCACAGATTTACGGAGCCTCAAAATGCGCGGAGAGGATCCAAATGGAGAGGTTGACTGCATCATCAAAGCACAAACACGTTGACAAATCTGAACCGACAATTCCCTGTGGCAGGGGCAAGGCAACTGGTATCATCAATGGTGTGATGATGGGTCAAAATTCAGGTAAGGATTGTCATTTTTCATAGGACATCCAATTCGGGGGGTTACGGGATTGTTGAATTTTGACCCAGAGCCATGAGCCATTTCAGACTTCGCGGATGTCTGTGCAGCCCAATGCCCAATCTTCGGCAATGGGCCAGTGGGAACTAGTGCCATCAAATCGGCAAACATCGAACGTCGAGGTCGGTAACTGCACAACTAGTGGAAAGAGTCTGAAATTGTGACCCGAACGTGGCCGTCTTTAAGACTGGCCAGAGATCTGCAAGAAACCTATGCCCTTGGAATGGTTTGGATGTTTCATGGTTTCGGAAAGGGGGAGAAATGAAGCCATCTGCAAAGTGAACATTGATCCAAGAAAAAACAAATCCAAGATCGAAACATGGCCTTACTATGCCTTACTTGGATTTGCTTTGCATATTTTCGTGAAATGTCCAGCGTTCTCCGGGCAAGGTGTTTCCTCTCATCCCAGTTCACGCGCCTCGCCAGGGAGCTCAACTCGAAAACGTAAAGGGGTTGTTGACTGAAACCATGACTCGAAACGCAAAAAAATGGAAGAATCGGAAAACGAAACATCGGAACATATAACAAGATTATACAAGATTGCATCATGATTTTTTTATCAATGTTCAGATGTTCATCAATTTTTATTGGAAAATTTCATGATTTTCCTGTCTTGATGGCCTGTCCGGTGCCGTTGGCCTCATTGGGTTCCAATTGCCTCGGCCCCGGAGCAGAGGAACATAGGTGGTGTCAAGGGTGTCCGGAAACTTCAAAAAAAATTGATGAAAAATAAATGGGTGCCAACCGAACTGATCAAACTTTGGGATTTATACCAGTAGTAGTACCACACAGGGCGGTGGCGGAAGTTTCAAACATAGGAAATGTATGGGAGAGGTTGGTTGTTGTGAATCGCGGATGGCAGAGCGAATCCGCTGATGGGCCCGAAGGTGGTTGGAGTTGTGTTTTTTGAAATGGTTGCGGTGGTCACCTCACCACAACTGCTGGGTGCGTCTATCTATATATCTGTCCGTCTGCCTGTCTGTCTATCTATCTGTTTATCTGCAAGTTTGAAAACGAAACTATTCTGTGTGGCTGCCTCAGTTTTTGAGCTTGACAACACCAAAAACGAAGCAATTCTACGAGACTTCCTCAATTTTTGAAGTTGGCATCAAAAAACAAAGCAATTCTGCGAGACTTCCTTCAATAATGCAAAGTTAGGTGCAGAGATCACGGCCTCGTACCAATGCGTTTTGCAATTTTTCCAGTCCATGTGTCCAAGTATTGCGCCTGCCACAAATGAGGCCAGGTCATACGAAGTGCTGCACCTGTCACACAAAATCATCTTACCAAAACTGAAGATCTGATGCTCCAAAATGCAACCCCTCTCAGGAAAGCTCTGCCCCTGACCTCCTAACATCTCTGATGAACATGTCTTTTGTATTGCGCCTGCCACGCGAAATGAATCTTCCCAGATCCTCTTCAAATGCCCCACCCCTGCCATTGTTTTTGGACATGCTACGAGACCCTCACGTTTTGCTCGCTTTTGACAAGGTGCACAATCCCTTGCGCCTGCCAGGCGAAACGACATCTGAACTCCAAAAGTGTTCCGTGCCCGTCAGTTTTTTGCGCTTTTGATTTCGACATGTGCTCCGCGCCACAACGGCGTGCGCTTTTTCGACATCTCCACTTCCAAACGTGGTCCGAACGTGGAGTGTTTTGTACATTTTGACTTGGACATGTGCTTCGCGCCACAACGGCGTGCACTTTTTCATCTCTCATCGGGCCAGCTGGCTGCGCACTCGCCGCTTTAGCGAGCCTACTTTTCGACCCTTCGGAGCCTCAAATCATCGGAGAAACACCATGCTTCGCGACTTTTCTACCTTTTCGCGCACCTGCATCTTCTTTCCTCTGACTCTTTCTCTTCTTTGATCTTCTTTCTTCTTCTCTTCTCTTCTCTTCTCTGACTCTTTCCACCTCTGCTTTTCCATCTGTCCATATTGTCGGAAGTTTGACTTCTAAACTTCCTTCGATAATATGTTGATTTGAAGAATGGAATATAATTTTTGTTACGCAAAAATCGTCAATGTTGCAAACCTAGATGGCAATGATAGCGAGAAAATCTTGTGGCGTACTACTGACAATGCGCGAACATGTTTACGTCTTCAGACGGATTCAATTGGGTCCTAAATTTTGACCCAACCTTTGAACATGGCGCGTCTGGTATCAGTGTGTTGGATGTTTAAACTTGCGTAGGATGTTGGAGTCCTGGTTTCCAGGCAAGTTAATTTCCCTCGCAGCATCATGCTGCACATCTGCTCAAATACAAACAAAATACGGCAATTCATCTTCCTCCAATCGTAGATGTTGGTTTCTCCACTGATTTGGAATATATCTACAGAATCTACGTGCTTAGATCAAGTGTGTACATGTAACTTTCCAAATGGTCCCATTGAAGGTTGTCAGGGTTCCCCGACACTCGGATGTTGCCCTTTCGGAACTCCTCATATCGACCATCCTGGAAGTAATCGGCGCATTCCAGACAGAAGGATCTTCGGAATCCATCGAAGAAATCTTCATAGCCCCATGTCATTTCACGTGATATTCATCCGGAATTTTCGAGGTCGAAAACCCCCAAGGGATGAAAATGAGGAAATTCTTTTTGAATAAACGCCCTCAGCTCTGCCTCAGGCCCAACTTTGACCACTGGCTGGTTCTCTGGGCCTGGGTGCAAAGCTCCAGGCATTCGGGACTTCGAACCAACTTCTGGATGGAAACCACGACAGTTTCTGCAGACTTGCCATGACATCAAGCAGCTCCGTCAATACTTCAACAATTGACACCCGGAAACTGAAAGGATCTGAAAGGCCTGAGGTCAAGAAATCAGACATCTCTGCCATCTCCACCTGCCGGGCATCAGAAAAGGCACTTGATGATACTTGATGTTCAATTCTTTGGCCTGTTTGGCCGCCAAGGCCTTGCTACCGATTGCTACCAAGCCATGTCAGCAGGTGCAGTTCAATTTGCAGCCTGTCTTGGCTCAGATTCGGTCGGTTTCAGGACCATCTGTACCTGGCGAGCAGAAAAGCATGCTGCCTAAAACAACAAAACGAATGCCGCAATAAGCCGTGCCACATGTTGTCAATCAATGTCAATCACCTATGAACTTATCTGCTTCATTCTGCTTCCCTATTTGTTCATGGCTCTACACTGGGCTACGACTCCATTCCTGTCCCTGTTTTCCTTCTTTCCTTACCTATTCCCTTCCCGACTGTGTTGCGCTATGTTCTTCCCCAATTTTTCACGAACGTTTCTTCCCCACTACCTTTTTGTCACTATTTCCCTCTCTATTTTTGTTGGTTCTTCTCTTTCTCTTTGTTTTCTTCCCCCGTTTCCTCCCTATTTTGCCTCCAATGTGCTCTCCCTATTTGCCTCCCTACCTTTTTGTCGACATTTCCCTTCCTGTTTCCTTTCCTTGTTGTGCTAGTCTCTGCAAAGTTTTCCTGTTTCACTGGTAAACTAAAGGTCGTCCTTTCAGTTTGCATGGGATGCTGATGTTCATGTTAGACATCACCTAGACACAGCTCCTCTGCCCAGTGTCACCCACTGGCAGAACCCAAGCTACCCCAGAAAATATTGGCGGTCACTGCATATCTTAAAGATTATTGGCGTGCACTCAGAGCCTGCCACACTCTACACATGTAAATGGTTCCCTATTTCTTATATTTCTTCCCTAGTTCCTTCCCTCCTTGCCCATTTTCTTCCCTGTTTGTCTTCCCTATTTCCTTCACTATTTCAGTTTCAGTTTTCCCCACTCCCCCACTTTTTGCCCTGATCGCCCTGATCTGTGTCCCATTTTCTTCCCTATTTTCTTCCCTTTCTTGTATCCTTTTTTTCCCTCACTACTTTCTTCCCTATTTGTTTCCCTAGTTTCTTCCCTATATCCTGGTTTCCTTTATTTTCTTCCCTGTTCCATTTCCATCGTCTTCCCTATTGTCTTTTCTGTTTCCCTCCCTATCTTCTTCGTATGTTCTCTCCTATTTCCGTTCCTATGCTCGTCCTATGTTCTTCCCCATTCCCTTCCCATTTTCTTCCCAGTGACTGGGTTGTTTCCTCTAGTTTCTTCCCTTTCCCTATTTTCTTCTCTAGACTCCTTAATCTTTCATGCGTTCTCTCCCGTAATCTTTCCTATTGACTATTGACAGTCAGGAGGTGAAAATATTCCCATGACTTGGAGGGGTTGTCTCATTTTCCAAATGCTTTTGATGGCCCTAAATTGGGCTACGTCCCCCATGTCCCCCTGACATATCACCCACTCAAAATTGATGCCTTACCACTTCAGTCAGGATGTTTTGAGGTATCCCCGGTATCCCCGGTATCCCCCATAGGTTGGCAGGCTCACCTGGGATGGCTTCTCAAAAGATTGGGTCGGTGGGTCCACCTCAGCTGGGACCCAAAATCGGATGCTGGGAAGACCCAAACGTATTGAAAAAGGAAGATGGTACAGAAATTTGGCCAAAAAATGCCATTTAAGTGGTGTATATGGCATATGACGTGGCCAACAAAATGTAATGGTTCACATCAATCAAAATGGGGAGCTAAAACATTGCACAACGAAAAACTGAGGATTGCAGTATACCTACCGAAATAAAATGGTTTTTTTGAAGCAACTGTGGTTTAGACCCGGCTGTCTGCATCTCTCAAAGACGGGCAGAATGGCGCCTTGTTCCCTTCAGCTATTTTTCTGACATCTTGAAGGAACGAGGCCACCTGAGACATGCAGGGATGTCTGGCAAATGATCGGGACGTTCAAAACACGGCTGTTTGGCCTAATTCTGTGTCAAATCATGTTTGCGAAGAAAGTCCTGACTCCTGTTGTATTGGAGTTCCTTTCGAGCATTCTTTTGAGCGAATCTCACCCAACCCCAAAATGAAGCAGCTTCAGCCGCATACCTCACCAAAGTAGGCGCGCATATCTGTCTCCACCAAGTCATTGTGGCCTGCCAAAAACAAGGTGCCGGGCATCTGAGGGGGCCCCCGCTGTTGTCACTTTTCAAACATTTTACAGGGGGCACAAAACGCTGAAAAACGAAACTTTATCATCAGGAGCAATTTCATCATCATCATCGTCATCATCATCATCATCATCTGCATGTTCTACGATCTGGAAGTGCATGAGAACGTACAGCGGCGTAGCATGACGTATGTGTGCAAGTGCATGAGAACGTACAGCAGCGTAGCATGACGTATGTGTGCAAGTGCATGAGAACGTACAGCAGCGTAGCATGACGTATGTGTGCAAGTGCATGAGAACGTACAGCAGCGTAGCATGACGTATGTGTGCAAGTGCATGAGAACGTACAGCAGCGTAGCATGACTATGTGTGCAAGTGCATGAGAACGTACAGCAGCGTAGCATGACGTATGTGTGCAAGTGCACGAGAACGTACAGCAGCGTAGCATGACGTATGTGTGCAAGTGCATGAGAACGTACAGCAAATGACGCTATTATCCCACCCCACCCCACCCCAACCCCCCCACCCCCCTCGTCTATGATGTTGTTTTTAGTGTAATGTCAAAAACTGACAACAGCGGGGGCCTCCTCAGATGCCCGGCACCAAAAACAAAATCTGAGAACTCAGAATCACAACATGGGTCCTGAAGACAATTTGGTGAGAAACAGCTGCAAGCCAACAACCCATAACAACCCCAATTGACAAAATAACATGTGTTCACTCCGAAACAAACATGCTATACCAAACACCAATTGGCAAAATGAAATCAAAGTAATACCTGTCCACTCCCAAACATGCGTTTTTCCAACATATACCAACATCTTACACCAATTTCATCCAATTTCACCCTCGCAGTCACCGCGGTGGCACCTGCCCGCTGTGGGAAGTAGGCGGGCCAGCGGAACTGCTTGGGGCACTGCTTGTGCAATCGGAAGCCATGGTAGAAAGGGATGATATCATCCCGTTGGCCATGCATCACCAGCAATGGGCATAGCAGCTGTCGGACACGCCTCAGGTGCGTTTCATGGATTTTTTTGACTGTAATTTTTCCATGCAAAAACATGGTGAAATTCCCAAACAAATGGACAAATTTAGATATATTTAGATACCAAATCTACCTTTTGGTGGAGAAGTCAAAGTACATTCGACTCACCCAGTTTGTTGGGTATCAAAACCTCCCACTTCACTGCTTACCCATCCCATACCTACTGCTGTGGTTGGTTCGATCCCCATAGACCACCGAGCGGCCGATCGTTTGGGTAGAAGTCAAAGCAGCTCCAAACACAGGAAGGACGACAGCAGACGTCGGGTTTGGGGTCCACCACCTGGCACCACAGGGCATCGACTCCATCGGATCCATCGGATCCATCGGAACCACCGGATTCCTGCCTTGATTCCAGAGAGAAGCGGCCTGGGATTTGCTTAGGGAAATGATGATTCATTTCCAACAAGGACTAGGGCGTTCTCAAAAAAAACAACATGGGAAATGAATGGACATGGTTGAAAATGGTGATTGAAAATCATGAACATTCATAATGGTGGAACCCATTAACGATCAGGGGTCTGGCAAACTGGGCGATTGATAATACCCTAGTACGCCAGTGACTCTACAGCTGAATGATGCTCCATTACCATATGCTGTCGATTGGTTTGACGGTACCCTCCAGTAAAGATCCATGTGGGACATTCATCTTCCGCCAACAGTTTGTGATCCAGAATCCATGCCACCTTCATCTTGCGTTTCATCTTGATACAACGCGTCCGAAACGATATGTGCGTCGATTGGGGGTCACCATCACATGGTTTGAGATGCTACATAACACGATATGAATTGAACATAATTGAACAATCAACTAGCTAGAATTTAGATCATGTGTGATTATGGCCCATTCGATGCCTAGATGCCACATCACATAACCCGTCTTGGAGGCTGGCATAACCCAAATGTCAGCAACAGTCTCATAGTACATAGTGTATCACATTGGTGCTGCGGTTAAAAGCCACCCCAAAAATTGCATTTGGATTTACATTGGACAGGAACCCACATAGGAACCAGCACGGTGCGCATGGAGCGCATGGGTTGCGCTTGGGCTGCCGTGCGAATGCAGCACCACGCCACCGCACGGCTTCTTTGATGCCAACGCGGTCGCTGGGCCACTGAGCGAAGCGGGCAGTGCCCAAGGGGATCAAAGGTAGTGAATTCTGCTGAAATGTAGGAGGAAAGCATTTCCTCTGACTTTCACTGCTAAAACAAGCTGACACAAAGAACATCGTAAATCCAACATCCACCTGATCTAGGTTGATCTACTGTGTTCTGTCACAAAAAATTGTCCAAGGTCGGCCTTCCGACGCTTTGTCCATAGGCAACTATCCTGGCCATGTGAAGAGAACGAAACTTCCCACTGCTTCAAGTGAAGCATCAGTGGTTGGTGGAAATCAAGTATCAAGTGAATCAAGTGTTGCGCAACCTTGATGCCAATGATAATTGTCGGATCATCGGATCATCTAATAATAATCTGCCAAATGTCCTTTGCACTTCACTTGAACTGAGCATCTATTTCTGTTTGCGCTTGTGTCACAACGGAGGATATTCCAAGTCATGGCTATGAAACAATGGCCAGCTCTACTATCCATAAATCCTACTGCACCCATGTTGGCAAAAACTGAGTTTTATAGCTCAATATCTCAAGGTAAGGTCACAACCCATCTATACAGACCATAAATCCGAACAAAAATACCATATTATAGGAAAAATGATGATTAACCAGCAGTTTTAGGTATATATTAACATAATTGAATATATATATATGATGTATATAAACATATATAAACCATGTTCAATACCTCCACATATGACGCCACCAGATACAAAGGGCACCTATTGGGAGGAATGCCCTTGGCCACGAGGTAGTCATAGGCTGCCTCAACGTCCGCGTAGGTGTTGCCCGAGCTGGGCCTCCGGTTCGGATCCCATTGCTGACATCTCTGTTTCGGTTTTCTGGTTTTCCGGTTGTTCCTCCAGATCTTCCAACAGATTGCATGGTATTCACCAGTAACATGAATTAACTACAGCCAATAGCATTAGTTCATATTAGAATTCCCCAATTCTCCAGCAGCTTCAGCTTCCGCAGCTTCCGCTCCTGCCCGAGGCGGCGCCGTAGCCGGCGTATTCCACGCCGCAGACCTAGACGATGACGAGACGCTTCCCAAGGCGTTTGGAAAAGTATGAGTTAAGTATCAAGAGTTTGGACTTACCAAAAAAAATAATGGATTTACCATGAAAACTGGGGCTTTTTGGCCATCAAAAGTAAACATTTGATCATGTAACCAGCAGTTTTGATGGGATTGAACTATCCAAAAATGGAGATTGAATTACTATTTAGTAGTGCGGAGTAGAATTGGTGATACCCTCTGGATCCCTCTGGTACTCAAACATGTTCAATAGATAAATGAATCATGAAAATCCGCAACTATTTTCCGCTGTCAGGCTTGACTAAGGGACGGTATAACAGTTGCTAAGATTCACAACAATCCCATGCTACTGCTAATACCTTGTATACCCGTTCGGACCAACCATGCGCAACATCTGATCACCAACACATTATACACATTGGCGATTAGAAGATTAAAAAAGGACTCGACGTCCATCACTTCTATATTGTAACTTGTTTTATCTTGCTTTATCTTGTATGATTCGCATCCATGATGCAGCAGAAACAATGATACTTGGGATGTGGATCAAAATTGAAGGCCCTTCAAAACCCCAGATTGACTGGTGCAGAGTGGATGTTGATGATGTTGTACCCAAATCCGAACCATTCTGAAGCCTTTCAAATCTTGACCCTGGAAGAACCAGGACGACAGGAACTGCTTCACTGGGGTTTCGCCTCAATGCCCAGCACTTTGCCGAGTTCGTAGTATGGACCCATCATCATCCTCAGAGACCCAAAGTTCTCGGATCATCTTAGAAAATGCAGAAAAGAAAGAAGTGTCGCCCACTAATCAGTCTGAAAATCGGGTACCCATGGGTACCCCAAAATCTCACTTGCTTATCATGTTCCACAGTGAAATTGTTGTTTTAGGGGTATCCTGAAAATCTCCTACTTTCAGACACACCCAGATAAAGCGAATGTCAGCAAATTTCCAGACACAAAGACCTGACAGTTTCAGCACTGAAAGTTTAGCTGTCGACCCAATGTCCGTTGCGTTCCCATGACAGTGAAGGAGAACCTGCACGAAAGACGGATATCAAATGAGCATGGATGGACGAATCGAACCCAACATTCACATATTAGAATATATGTGTATGTATATTATATGTATATGACTTGAAAAACAGACTCCTCTATATTTCATTCTTTTCGACATCCTTGCTGATTACAAACCACAAGCCAACTGAGAGCCCAACTAAAGGCCTCGTTTCGTGGCGAAAACGTTGGAAGTGTCGGGCGCTACATCCATCGAGGATTTTGCAGAAAAAATCAACTGAGGTTTGTACTGGCCAAGCGCCTACAGGGGCGGTTTCTGGTGGCAAAACTCACAGACTGCCACAGGAAAACATGGAAGTTATATGGATTGTGTATGTATATATAACTCAAGTATAAATATAAAGATTAATATGTATACATATATATATATACACATGTGTATATATATATGCGTGTGTACTCATGCCCACATATGTGTATGTATATATATAATATAGTATGTATATTATCGGTTGTGTATACAATACGTTTGCTCTTGTGATGCTTGCAACTCAAGTGTGAATGACAACGTTTTGTTGATTTGGGGTACTGACACTTCGAACCAAATCAACACATGTAAAGAAATCACATGAGACACTGAGTTGACGTGTAACATTTGCACTCATCACATCCCTCAAGCAAAGCCTTATCCATAGATTGTAGTGTATAATAAGAAGAACTACCTGGAATCTGCCCAGTCCAATCTTGAAGAAGAACTACCTGGAATCACAGAAGGAACCCCGCTCTGCTTCAGAATTGATAAGACTTCTATTCCAAACATGTCTGCAGTGGTCAAAGCATCTGGAGGAATCAAATGTGCCTCTTCGCGATTGGCCTGCAACAGAACTCTGCAAACTGATTCTTGACGGGTTGCTTAGAAAAGGTTGACAGTTTCTACTTGTTTAGCATAATGCCTGGAATCTTTTCACAATTTCCTGCAGATCCAAATTAATTGTGCACTTCATTTCACTTATATACTTGTGTGTCCTGTTGCTACCATCTTGTCGCACATCCACACTGAAACCTTACAAACAAGATCGGTCTCATGTTCTCTTCCCCTGGTCTCTGCAACGTCAGAGTATACTCTCCTTGATTTCCAGTGCAAGTTACAAGAGGCAAAAAATAGTGGATATTGTGCAAATTGCCCCGCATATACTTCAGTAGCATTCGATTCTTAGTGACAACAAGAATCTCCATGAAAATAGAATACCACTACTTCCACAGCATCAAACAAGCATATTTCCCGACCAAAAATTTGTAATCTATGGGGGGAAATCGCAAAATTACATCATATTTTGAGGGAATACCACAATTTTGGACAAACCCATCCTATCCCATCCTTGAATGCTTAGACTCCAAATTTCGTGGTTCAAACCCGAATTCTTCATGGTTCAAGTGGTTCAAGGTTCATTCCCCGCCTCCCGGGGTTCTCTCAACTTGGATCTCCGCAGCCACACCATGGGGACGCGGTGCCCCATCCTCGTGGTCAACCAATGCATCTCGGACGCCTCCCACGGCTTCGTTGGCTGATTTTTTGGCAGTTCACCATTTTTTGTGGTTCAAAAGTTGTAAAAAGTTGGGGAAGACCTGGGGGAAATGGTGTTCCGAACCAGTGAAAAAAATCATGATTAAAGAAGAAAAACATATGCAACTGGGGGATTTGGCTAGATTTGGCTAGATGGCTAGATGGTTTGTTTGGGGGGAACAATAGCAATGTCAGTTAGAACTTGGAGTTAATCCGGAGCTAACCTCGATGATCACACACTCCAATAGAGTCGATTGCCAGCGCAGACCCATGCGTTGGCCCCCTTCAGGCCTTCTGGAAACCAAAAATACTCACCAAAAAATCAAGCTTCATCCATGATTGTTGCCTCAGCCAAGATTAAGCCAAGAGTTAATGACTTAAGATACGGGCCCGAAAAATGGGTGCCTGCACCTTTGCCCCAAATATGCGCTGCTCCATCCCAACGCTGAAACAAATCCATGTGGCTACTGAAAAATCGGATACCTTTTGAGAGCCGCAAACGGCAATCGTCATTTTTAGTCTCTAACTAATAAAGCATCCATCTTTGGGGATATCATATTTTTAGAGAACTATCCTTGTAACTTTCATATAATATCGTAAAATTATCCCATGTTTTTTGTGTCTCCAACGTCCCTTACGCTCCGCCTGCCTCTCGGGCTTTTCGGTAGAGGTCCGAAGCCTCGAGGCCCTGAATAGAGACAAAGCCTGTTTTGGTGATTTTGTTCGAAAAATTGGTGAGTTAATGTGAGTTAAGTGACTTAACCATCAAAATGTGGATTGGTAAATTTGATTTAACCAGAAACAAATTTACCAACAATACACTGTAATAGTTGGTCTTTTTGCCGGCAGTCTGAAGTTCTGATGGCCTCCATAAGGTATGTCATCTGGCCATTTTCCTGCGAGAACTGGGTTTGACCCATGGATACCCCTGGCAATTTTGATAAGGATGATCAACCGTGGGATTTGGAGTTCCCAGGTTCGAGACAGTGCAGGTCTCAATGTTTCACATTTCAAGTCACCAGATTCCGTCCAAAATTGTCCCCAAAAGGAATGTCTCGTTGGAATTGGATTCACGAAAAAAACCCTGAAAATTGGATCCATGAAAATCCCATAAAATCCCAAAGGACTATTTGGAAGGTCACCCATTGGGTTCCGGTAGGGCGCGCGGCGCGCGGTCCCAATCTGTTTCTGAAGTCCTCTTCCTCCACAGTGTAAGATGGTGGAGGAGGTATAAACGTGAAAGCGTTCCTGGGACGACAGAAGAACAGTTGAGACCTGAATTTTGAGGTTCATGGGTTACAATCCCCATTATACTGCCCTATAAACCTGGCAAAATGGTACAAGTATTGCCAACTATGGCCAATGCCCAAGGGATCCCAAATGACACAAATGGATAAATTGGCCATTCACCATTGATTTTAGACTAGTGGGTGGAATCCAATATCCACATGTATCATCATGTATCATCATGTATCATCATGTATCATCATGTATCATCATGTATCATCATGTATCATCATGTATCCATTTGTTGATGACTTTCCCATGAAACGGAATGGTTTTTGCAGCGATGAAAGGCAACCATCAAATAGGGCTCAGGGCAATTTTCCAACCCACTGAGAGTTGGACCGAACTTTTTCAGCATTGCACCCCTGAACCAGCTGCGACGCAGTCCAACTTGTCCAAATGGTGTATAGGGACGGTATACCCCGGTATACCCCGGTATAGCCCATGTTCGGACAAACAAAAACACGACAAAAATGATGTTCAAATTTTGTCAAAACAACATGAAACGATGCTGGTCGCACCTTGCAGCAGAACAAACAGCCAATGGAAGTGGAAGCAACGCAGTTGGAACCTTAGCATCCAAGCACAAAGTCGGCAGCCCGGATGTGCTGCAAAAAAAATGTTTTCTGCCTTCTGGCACATTCCTTTGTATAAGGAAATATCCAAGATCATTAGATCATTAGCCCTCAACAAAAGGCCAAATGCTCAAAATCAACCGTGAATTGCTGATTTGAAGGCTGTCTGATGTCATGTCTTGCAAAAGCATATGTTCAATTTATGAGTCATTGACAATTGGATATCTTCAGATTTGTCACCGTCATTGTCAATGTCACTGCGTTTCTGGAACCTATCTCTCGTCCCACATTCTTGCCTTCCAGGGTCTTCCTTCCCGGTCTACAGAAAGCTTCTGAACCAACTGAGCACTGCACCCATTGCACAACAAGATTTGGTTTTGTAAAGTTGAACAAAACAATGACTGCTTTGAGGTTTGCTGATCTCCCATGCGAATCTGCTACGTGATTCTTCTGAATCCTGTTGCACTGGTTCTATTCTTTGTGGTGCCATGTTTCGCCGATTTCAATGCAACTAACCCTGCTGCCTGTGCGGCGTGATTGTCCAATCAGTTGAGCCAAACTGGAATCCAAATGTGCAAGAGGCAAACTGGAGCACACGCCTGTTTGAAAAAAAATAGGGCCACGCCCCAAAGACTCAGGCAACAAAATGTCTGTGATTTTTCTGTTTTTGCTGTGTTTGGGCCTCTGTGTGCCCCAATTATCATATATTGCACAAGTGCAAGTTTTTACTTTTGATGCTACAGTATGTTTTCTGAATAAAACCGATCTTACTATGACAACACACATGTAATAATATGATAGACCAGGGAAGTAACTTGTAAAAACATGTAAAACAACATACAATATATCATGTAATTAGCATGTTCGAAATCGCATATCACCCATCAAATCTTTCCAATAGACTAAGACATCGGAGAGCAAGGCGACAGTTCATTTTATGCCTGGAGACGAAATGGTTCAAATCACTTGGCTGCTGTGTCCACTTTGAAACTGACATCCTGGCAGTGTCACCAAGCTCGGCATTTGCATTTGCAGGTGCTCAGCTTGGTTCCGTGCGCGCAAACGGTCGCGCAATCAAAGTTCCAGGGAGTTTTACATGGTATCCAAAAAGAAACAAAGGCGTTCCATCAATCAAATCCAAATGAAAAAATACATTCCGGACATTCAGTTGATCCCACATCCTGGAGGGAGGGCGGAGATAGTTATCTGCGAAGTGTCGCGATTGGAAATTGCAGCCCCCGCTAGTACATACCTCTTAACTTCTCACTTTCCAGTGTTCAAGCCGGGGGGATTGCATCAGCTGGAATTTCCAGTTTTAAACGGCCTTTTCCTTTTCCTTTCAAATTGACTTTGAAGGCTCTAAAGTGCAATTTTGGGTGATCAATCAGGGATGCCCAATGCAGATCGATCGCATCCCTGCGCGCCTTCGATGAGAAACATCAGACGCGGCAGCAAGTTCACGGCACAGGGTAGGTCGATGGTCTGCCATCCTGAAAGGAAGGAGAAAACTGAGAACGGAGCCAAACTACCACCAGTGCATTGCAAGGTGTGAGTGAAAGCCTGAGACTTAAGTATCAACACCAACACATGCTGGAGCACAGAAGTACTCTTTCATTCTTTCATCGTAGAAATATATCCAACCTTCAACTGTCCTCTGCTTGGGCCAATCTTTGGCGAATGCGAAGTCGGCGGGAGACTGCAGCCGGCAGGATCACAAAAACAAAGTAGATTTGCTTCGCACCCGTGAATAGAAGCATCGGTCTCAAGCAGCATGGGCTTCGAGACAGTTCCATGTCAAACATTGTCACAAAACTTTGCAAAGAGAGAACAACATCTCCAAAGAAAAGATGACCACCTTTGTCCTTCACCTTAACGCTGAAATGCACCAGATTTCCTTTCTACCGGACTTCAGGCGGGGGCTCGTGTCTCCAATTCTTTTAGCATCGCCAACCTCAAAGCCAAGACACTGCACTTCAAAGTACTGAGGTGTTATGCAATGTGTTCGGCACTCCAGCTGTCAAACATCGTGGACAATATGATATATATGATAAGGACCAGGATTAAAACATTGAAAAATTATGAAAGATATTGATCGCCGGTCATGTGCCCACATTCGCACTCTCTGGCTTTAGGCCGCCTTCCAACGTCTTCAGCAACTGCTATGCTTCGAGTTCAGCCTGCCCGTATCACCAAATACATGATGGTTTGAGCCCTATCTGTGTACAGCCTTGTCTATGCGGTTACGGCTCGACAATACGGCCAAACCTCACATTGGATTGGCGACGTTCAGTTGGAAAGCGTCCATTCTGAAAGATTACTCATATTGTTAGATATTATTAGGCCATAACCATATGATCATCACTCCGCAAAAAAAAGTGGCCCTTGCAAACCATCCTCCCTTTCGATGCCTGTCAGATTGGCTTGGGTTCTTGCCATTCAGTTCGCAGGTTCTCAACCTCGTCTCCCTTCTTCCTGTCAGGCTCAAATGAAACCAAAATTCGTTTGCAGGAGTGCCCAGTGGGCAAGGTTTGGGTAAAACATGAAATGGGGCGTTTGGCGTGTGGTGGCTCTTGTCGGCTTCAGCTGTCACCCATCCAATAGTTGTCGTACGGGATCCTGCGCCACCTGGCATGGATACAAAGCTGTCTTGAAGTTCCAAAATACCAACGTCTACAATGTTTAAGACCCACCTTTGCAATGTGGCGCGGCAGCTGAAATTTGGGCTTTCCAGTGGCCTCCTATAGCGGTTGAAGCAATCCCCGGGTCTCCCGCGGAACAAGCCCTCAATGTCACCCAACGACTAGTGAAGTCGAAGCATGGACCCTCGAAAAAAAGGGATTCTGACACTGCTTAAGTCAAGCGCTTTTTTTTGGTTCTACCAAGCATCACAAGCCGCATTTGCAGCCCAGCAACCTTGACAAACATTGCTGCAAGCACGGACGCTCTTTGGCCAAGTCCGTGCACATGTCAATGCATAGGCGTTTGCCACAAGCGCACAGATTCAATCCTTCGCGTTCCAATTCTTGCAGCACCCGGCCAGTGGCAAAGACATCCCACGAGTATGTCATGATGTTGTCCGGCGGGCTGAAACGCACACAGGACATGGGGCAACGATCGCCAGGCCTTGAAACGGAGCCGTAGTCGATCAAATACAATGTCTCATCCGCCCCCAGCATGATGTTGTCAGGTTTTATGTCCCCATGCACCAAGCCAATCGAGTGTACAGACATGACAGCGAGCAGCAGGTCACACATAAAGCGCTTGCTTGCCTCCAGGCACCCGGCTTCTGTTGAGGCCATGCGCCTCACGCGCTGAAGTGAAGTTTCCTGCAACCACGCTGACACCAGCCGCGGGTGGCCTTCAGCAGTCACACCGAACCCGATCACTGGCGAAGCGCCAATCAAAAGCCCGAAGTACAGTTCCGCAAAAAGCTCGGCATCACCCCAGTGAAATCTTTTCGAGGCCACGACAAAATCTGCCCAGCGCGCTTGCTTGACCGCACCGCCGAAGCCGCTGGCAATTTCATCGCCGAACTCCTCGACAAGGCCAATGTAAGCACCATCAAACTCCTCACTCCACTCACGGGGCTGTACCATGAATCTGCTGCAGTGTCTAGCGGCAGACCAAGGAGGTGGCTGGTCGTCACGCAGCCAGGCGGGCGGCTTGAGACACAGCTCTTTTCTTGAAACACCTGGCGGGCTTGCGTCGCCATGCTCTTGAGGCTCCGACTCACTTTGCGCTGCGGGAAGCTCTGTTTGTTGAGCCGTGTCTTGCCGGGCCCTCGTCGCAGATCTGTCGCGGCAGCCTTGCAGCTCGAGGGTCAAGGCCTGGACGTTATGTCGGCTTTCTTGGATCCAACGCATCACCGACCTGATGCCCACTACAACGCAGAGTATGACCAACAGCAATGAGGCCAAGGCCTTTGGCCAAAATCGGGCAGCACCGGTCCATTGAGGCCTGCCTCCTCTCAACCTTGAGCGACGTTGCTTGGGATGGTCCTTGCAATAGGCCGCCTCCTGCATGGCCCACTCTTTCCAAGCTAGAATGCGGACGTGCTCCAACTCAATGACTAGCTTGGCACTGGCGATGTCAAGCTGAGAATCAGGCCAATTCTCTGGGATGCCTTTTGCTGCTGCGGCCTCTTGGAGCATCCTTACCAAGTCTTTGGCCCCAAGCTGGCCATGGGAAGGACCCTCAACAGCAAGCGCACCACGAAGCCCAGGCAGTACGTAGCCACACGCTGGACAAATCCAAAGAAACAATATCCATGGCTGCGGCATGCTCTGCAAAAATAACATCAGCAGATTGCTGAGAACTCAGAAAAAACATCTTGCAATGCAAGGGTCCAAATCTAGTTCGAAGTGTGAAAGCTCAGTAGTTGGTATGTAGGCTCTGCTATACTTTTTCAAGATGGGCACATTTCAACTACAAGGGTTACACTCCTGACACCTGACTGTTGCCCGTCACTCGGATTTGCGTGCAAAAAGGACAAGCGGGTAACGCAATCGGTATGACAATCGCCGATGTCAATCCAGGCCAATATTGTTGGTTCTTGAGTGTGGCACTCTGAGCCATATCCATTGCAAGTCATTCAAAAACTCAAACGGAAAAAAGGGGTTGGTCGGTGAGTTCCTCCATGTAAGGTGAGCTCAATCCCTTGCGAGGGACTGATACACAAAAAAGTTTTCGCGACCAAATGTCGGCAGCACGGAATTCCAAGAGAGTCGTGGTTTGTCTTGCATTACCACAGCAAACAAACCAAGTTTACAAGACATCCCCCACTGAAACCATCTACATATGTGTGGTTTCTGGCAAGTCATTCGTGGTAAACCTCCTTTCCCTGCAACTGACTATGACCCCCTTCAGAGGTTGGTTGGAGCCTCGATCCGCGATGTCTTTCAATGACTTCGGCGATCACCTGAAGCTCCTGAAGAGTTCTCAAGGGTGGCAGGAAGATCCCAACGAGATAGGAATTCCGCAACGTAATGAAGGTATGACAAGGATAAACCACCCTCAACCCCCAATGGTCATTTTGATCACAATGGTTAGTACTGGTTTATATGGCTGCTAAACCAATAATTATAATATACTCGACATTGTTGTCATACCCACATGATAGACAAAAAGTTCATGAGGAGTAGTAGTGACACCCATCAACTGCCAGCAGAACGTTAATGTGGCCGCCTGTTCCTCACGTTGTTGATTGACGTTTTAAGATAAGTAAGCCAACCCAGGCCAAGCCAACTTCAATTTCCCGCCGCTGTGCCAGCGGCAAATGCTTGGGTCCATAGATCGGGGCACCCCCAAAGCCATTGATTTACTTTTCGAAATCACCATTTTTGGGTGGAGTATTGGTACCCTCGTTAATAGAAATGTCCACTTGATCCTGTGTCCCTGGTCTTCACACAAAGCTGCATAGAACATGTTGTAGCGAATAGATTCCCATTGAGTACCCAACGCCCAAAAAACTTACTGAAACATACAAGGACACTGTCAAAATGCGCGACACTGGAAATATCCACTTCACGCTTCATCACAAGTCCGCTTCAATTTCAACTGACCAATTCAACTACCGGGTTAAGACTCGTCTGACACCCTGAGGCAGTTAGCTACAATTTTGGAAATACTATGCCCTTCCATTTTCCTACCACTATGCGCTTCCATTTTGCTACCACTATGCGCGTCCATTTTGGCACCACTATGCGCTTCAATTTTGGTGCCACTATGCCCTTCCATTTTGCACATTGTGATACGGATATTAGCTTCCATTTTGGTACCACTATGCGCTTCCATTTTGGGAGCACTATGCGTGAGTAACCTTATCAATTTTTAGGGGCCGAAAGTCGAGGGGACACAAGTGAGCTAGGCGGAAGGTCGTCAAGTGCCCCAGGCTACCATTCTAGACACTCTGCCGGGTGGTCCACAAGTGCAGCCATGCCAGACCTTTAATACTTGAAACTATGCCAATACCTTAACAACCAACCAACAGCTGCAGCCTGGACCCCACCTCAAAACAAGCGAAGACCTGGTGAAAAAAATAGTCGCTCTCACCGCGCTCGGCCTGAAACCGATAGGTTTTTACAAAAGAAAACTACACGGCACCGCTGCTTGGCTGTTTCACCGTTCGTGACATAAGGTCACGTACCGGACTTTGCACAGCTAAAGACTCATAAACTATGAAAACCACCATGGATCAAGAAGGCGCAAATGAATCTCAAAAAGGGGGCTCCTTCGGTGCTTGGAAAGTTTTCTCCTCAATCTTCTCCTGGCTGTCTGTTCAGAAGCTGAACCCAGCAGGCAAAATCCATTAGGAATTGCACATTTGAAGAAGAAGTGGCAAAATCGCGACGGCTTTGTATATATGGTTTCCCAAACCCTGAAAGTCAGGAAATCGAGTAGTCAAATGATTGAAAGACTGCGGTGGTGCCAAGAGCGGTGATGTTGAAGCTATTTGGCACAATCTTTTGCTGAAGGGTTTACTGCTTTTAGCAAACCACATGCTCGTTTCAGTTGAAAGTTTCAATAACGGTACCAAAAATTTATTTCGCGGCAACCCCACTGATCTGGCTCATCTGCGCCTCCTTTCCAACCACAAAGCAGCGCCCCTGAGCCGGAGTAGTTTATTGCGGATAATGATTTCTCCATGTTGTCTCGGTTTTGTCCCATATGTCAATCCCCTGAAGTTCAGGCAAATGCATTTGAATGGCGGTACAAATTGCAAACATTGAGCAGCGTCAAAACCTAACATGTGTCCTGAAATTCTGACATCTGACTGGCGACCCGCCCTTGTCAAAGCTCAAACGGCACCTGCTTCCTTGCTTGCTTCAATTCCTGTCATCTCGATCAGTGACAAATTTCTGCTGGACTAAGGGGTTTGTAACTCTTCACCGATGTTGAAAAAAATCCTGTGGCAATATATTGCTATGAAACAAACTAACATCCACAAAAAACAACAGTAGCAATAAAGAATCCACCCCCCCCACCGCGTCGGATTTCACCATGCCTTCTTGGCAGCTTTAGCAAGGGTTCTTTCCAGCTTAGTCGGGCGAGAAACCCACACAGGCTGAAAATCCAATGCGCTGTGGCTGCGCTGCCCCTGGCACCTCGTTTTGGCCACGCCGTTGGCGGTTGAGCTCTCTTTGTTTCTCCTGAAGCCACGCAAACAACTAGAGGAATGGTTTCAATCAAAGTGCCCGGTTCATGCATTTGATTTGGCGCCAACCACCCATGCACCTGCAGCATTGATTGATTGGGAGATTAGGGTTTCAAATGATTTTTGTCAAACGCCCCTATTGTTTGCTTTGCAAGTTCAAACCTTCATCGAAGGAAGTTTAGAAGTCAAACTTCCGACAATATGGACAGATGAAAAGCAGAGCAGGGAAGAGGCAGAGAGAAGAGAAAGATTAGAAGAAAGAAGAGTAGAAGAGAAAGAGTAAGAAGACAGAAGATGCAGATGCCCGAAAAGGTAGGAAAGTCGCGACACACTGTGTTTTTCCAATGATTTGAGCTCCGGAGGGTCGAAAAGTAGGCTCGCTAAAGCGGCGGGTGCGGAGCCAGCTGGCCAGATGAGAGATGAAAAATTGCACGCCGTTGTGGCGCGAAGCACATTTGCAAGTCAAAATGCACAAAACACCTCAGCTCCGGACCACTTTTGGAAGTTGAGATGTCGAAAAAGTGCACGCCGTTGTGGCGCGAAGCATGTTTCCAAGTGAAAATGTACAAAACACCTCAGCGTCGGACCACTTTTGGAAGTTGCAATGTCGAAAAAGTGCACGCCGTTGTGGCGCGAAGCACATTTCGAAGTCAAAATGTAATCAACAGATCCTTCCACTGGTAACGTATGCTTTTTCAGGTTTGGAACCATGAGTTTCAAGCTTTGGGAACCCGCAGTTCCTTACAATGATAGCCGCTTAGCTTCGAAAACATAAATTCTAACTTCTGGGAACCGGCAATTCGTTGCAATGGTAACCTCTGGTTCCCAGGTTGGGAACCGCAAGTTTCAACGTCTGAGAACCGGCAGTTCCTTGCCATGGTAACCTTTGGTTCTTTGGTTCCCACGTTGGGAAGGGTGTTGTGCAGGGTGCTGTGCAGGGTGCTCTGCAGGGTGCTGTGCAGGGTGCTGTCCAGACTGCGGTGGCGAAGTCTGGCAAAATTGCTGTGCAGGGTGCTGTGCAGGGTGCTGTGCAGGGTGCTGCGCAGGGTGCTGTGCAGGGTGTTGTTCAGACTGCGGTGGCGAAGTCTGGGAAAGGTGCTGTGCAGGGTGCTCTGCAGGGTGCTCTGCAGGGTGCTCTGCAGGGTGCTCTGCAGGGTGCTGTCCAGACTGCGGTGGCGAAGTCTGGCAAAGGTGCTGTGCAGGGTGCTGTGCAGGGTGCTGTGCAGGGTGTTGTCCAGAGTGCGGTGGCGAAGTCTCGCAAAGGTGCTGTGCAGGGTGCTGTGCAGGGTGTTGTTCAGAGTGCGGTGGCGAAGTCTGTTAACGGTGCTGTGCAGGGTGCTGTGCAGAATGCTGTGCAGGGTGCTGGGCAGGGTGCTGTGCAGGGTGCTGTGCAGGGTGCTGTGCAGGGTGCTGTGCAGAGTGTTCTGTGCAAGGTGCTGTGGTCCTTTGTTTTCAGCGTGCTGTGCAAAGTTCATAGTTTTGGTTTTGAATTTCGCGATCGTATTCTTGCTTCACACATTTTTACATCCCGACTTTGACCCTGTGCGAGATTTTGGAGCATATGCACCCAGCTTTCCAACACCCCTCGTACGTGCAATCATTTAGACCAAAGGGTGTTCTGAGCCAACGCGTTTTTTGGTTGCCGCATATCATTTTGACATGCACCTCTTTCGTGCAAAAACATTTTTATGCCGGCCCATCAGCCAAACGCAAACATTCCGCTACCGGTCCATTAAGCAAACAAAAGGTTCTGTTACCGGCTCAGTAAATAAAACAAAACAACATTAAGAATCATGAGTTCTAACTTTTGGGAATCAACAAATCCTTCCACTGGTAACGTATGCTTTTTCAGGTTTGGAACCATGAGTTTCAAGCTTTGGGAACCCGCAGTTCCTTACAATGATAGCCGCTTAGCTTCGAAAACATAAATTCTAACCTCTGGGAACCGGCAATTCCTTGCAATGGTAACCTCTGGTCTTAGGTTGGAAACCGTAAGTTTCAACGTCTGGGAACCGGCAGTTCCTTGCCATGGTAACCTGTGGTTCCCACGTTGGGAACCATCAGTTCCAACCTCAAGGAACTGGAAGTTCTTTGCAGTGGTAACCTATATGGTTCCCAGGTTGGGAAGCATGAGTTCCAACCTCTGGGAACCGGCAGTTGCTTGCAATGGTAACCCATGGTTCCCAGGTTGGGAACCAGGAGTTCCAAACTCTGGGAACCGGCAGTTCCTTGCAATGGTAACCTGTGGTTCCCACGTTGGCAACCGTGAGTTCCAACCTTTTGAAACCGGCAGTTTCTTGCCATGAACCAAACGCAAACATTCCGGTACCGGCCCATTAAGCAAAACAAAGTGTTCTGTACCGGTCCATTAAGCAAAACCATAAAGTTGTAAAGAAACTGTTTTCATATCATTTTGACATGCACCTTTTTCGTGCCAAAAACATTTTTATGCCGGCCCAGCAGCCAAACGCAAACATTCCGCTACCGGTCCATTAAGCAAAACAAAAGGTTCTGTTACCGGCTCAGTAAATACCCTCTGGTAATTTAACGTAGCTATTGAAAATTGCCATTTATAGTGGATTTACCCATTGAAAATGGTGATTTTCCATAGCTATGTTAGTTTACCAGAGGGTAAAACAAAACAACATTAAGAACCATGAGTCTTAACTTTTCGGAATCATCAGATCCTTCCACTGGTAACGTATGCTTTTTCAGGTTTGGAACCATGAGTTTCAAGCTTTGGGAAACCGCAACAATGATAGCCGCTTAGCTTCGAAAACATAAATTCTAACCTCTGGGAACCAACAATTCCTTGCAATGGTAACCTCTGGTTCCCAGGTTGGGAACCGCAAGTTTCAACGTCTGGGAACCGGCAGTTCCTTGCCATGGTAACCTTTGGTTCCCACGTTGGGAACCATGAGTTCCAACCTTTAGGAACTGGAAGTTCTTTGCAATGGTAACCTGTGGTTCCCAGGTTGGGAAGCATGAGTTCCAACCTCTGGTAACCGGCAGTTGCTTGCAATGGTAACCTCTGCTTCCCAGGTTGGGAACCATGACTTCTAACCTGTGGGAACCGGCAGTTCCTTGCAATGGTAACCTGTGGTTCCCACGTTGGCAACCGTGAGTTCCAACCTTTGGGAACCGGCAGTTCCTTGCCATGAACCAAACGCAAACATTCCGGTACCGGTCGATTAAGCAAAACAAAGCGTTCTGTACCGGTCCATTAAGCAAAACCATAAAGTTGTAAAGACAATGTTTTCATATCATTTTAACATGCACCTTTTTCGTGCAAAACATTTTTATGCCAGCCCATCAGCCAAACGCAAACATTCAGCTACCGGTCCATTAAGCAAAACAAAAGGTTCTGTTACCGGCTCAGTAAACAAAACAAAACAACATTAAAAACCATGAGTTCTAGCTTTTTCTCGACAGGACAGGTCGGGATGAGTCTCTATGTTGTCGAAGGAAGTTTAGAAGTCAAACTTCCGACAATATGGAGAGATGAAAAGCAGAGTATAGGGCAGAGGCAGAGAGAAGAGGAAGATTAGAAGAGAGAAGATCAGAAGAGAAAGAGTCAGAAGACAGAAGATACAGATGCGCGAAAAGGTAGGAAAGTCGCGAAACACTGTGTTTTTCCAATGATTTGTGGCTCCGGAGGGTCGAAAAGTAGGCTCGCTAAAGCGGCGGGTGCGGAGGCCAGGTCCCAGCGCCATTGTGACTGCCGGGCCCACGGGAGCGATGAAAAATTGCACGCCGTTGTGGCGCGAAGCACATTTCGAAGTCAAAAGTGTTAAAAAACTGGCGGTCTCGGACCACTTTTGGAAGTTGAGATGTCGAAAAAGTGCACGCCGTTGTGGCGCGAAGCACATTTCGAAGTCAAAAGTGTTAAAAACTGGCGGTCTTGGACCACTTTTCAGACTTCGCCACTGCAGTCTGAAAAGCACTCTGCACAGCACCTTTGCCAGACTTCGCCACCGCACTAGTACAGCACCTTGCACAGCACCCTGCACAGCACCCTGCACAGCACCCTGCACAGCACCCTGCACAGCACCCTGCACAGCACCCTGCACAGCACCTTTGCCAACAGCACTCTGCACAGCACCCTGCACCTTTGCCGGACTTCGCCACCGCAGTCTGGACAGCACCCTGCACAGCACCCTGCACAGCACCCTGCACAGCACCCTGCACACCATGCACAGCACCTTTGCCAGACTTCGCCACCGCGCTCTGGACAGCACCCTGCACAGCACCCTCTACACCATGCACAGCACCTTTGCCAGACTTCGCCACCGCAGTCTGGACAGCACCCTGCACAGCACCCTGCACAGCACCTTTGCCAGACTTCGCCACCGCGCTCTGGACAGCACCCTGCACAGCACCCTCCACAGCACCCTGCACAGCACCCTCCACAGCACCCTGCACAGCACCTTTGCCAGACTTCGCCAGTGCAGTCTGAACAGCACTCTGCACAGCACCCTGCACCTTTGCCAGACTTCGCCACCGCACTAGTACACCACCCGCACAGCACCCTGCAGAGCACCCTGCACAGCACCCTGCACAGCACCCTGCAGAGCACCCTGCACAGCACCCTGCACAGCAGCTTTCCCAGACTTCGCGACCGCAGTCTGAACAGCACCCTGCACAGCACCTTTGCCAGACTTCGCCACTGCAGTCTGAA